CCACCACCACCTCGAAGGATCTCAACACCATCACCGCCTCAAAGGATCTCAACACCACCACCACCTCGAAGGATCTCAACACCTCCACTGTCATCAGAAGCAGCTGCATCATCACCAGCAGCAGCTGCATCATCACCAGTAAGCAGCACCAGCAGCACGACCACCACCACCAACATCCTCATCCCCAGCCTGCTCCAAAGCAGCCACGCCTTCTTCATCTACAGCGCCTCTGAAGCACCCATCCTCACCCCAGCCTACAGCAGACAGGCCTGTGCTGGGGTTTCCTCAACCACCTGCCCCTCCATCAAAGACTCCCTCGCCACCATCCCATGGACCTGTCTTGGGTCCCCCCTGCCACGTCCACTCCATCAAGAGAGAATGGGGACACCTCCCTTTGTTTTTCATCCCCGCCTTCACTGTTAGACCTACCTGAACACTCTGCAGGGCTAATACAATCGGCGATGAAGACTATTCCTCTCACACCCATATTACTCTATTCTAGAGTCCTTGTCCAACATGCTAAACCACTCCCCATAATGTACCTCCAAAACCACCTAGGGTTTCCAATTCACCTACAATAACCACCTCAGCCAGTCCATCCCCTAACCTCATGACCATTCCACCCCACTTCCCACTTCCCCCTCGCTCAACATCCAAAACCTCTGCCTCAGCCCACCCCGGCCCTAACCCATAACCTAAAACCCCTCCACCTCCCCTGCCCCCCTCGTTCAACACCCAAAAGCCACCCACCTCTCCATCCTCCTCCCCTGCCTTCCCCTTCCACCTCGTTTTCTCTAAACACTAGGATGCACAGGGTCTCTCGCTTCGCAGCCACTGGCAGTCTAGTTAGAGGAGAGACCCGCTAGGGGCCCTGTCATGAAGCCCACCTGTGCCATTACCCTTAGTGATAACACAAAGAATACATTACAGAAAAACATCTGGAGTTAATCAGTCTAATCTGGAAAATCTAATTCTTGTTCCGTATAATGAATCAGCCGACCGCAACCGCTGATACTGAAACTTTGAAACTTGCTACGCTTAATGTCAGATCTCTTTGTAACAAGTCTTTTTTTAATCAATAATTTTATTTGTTCTCATAATCTTGATCTTATGTTCATAGCTGAAACTTGGCTTGACCAAAATTCAGAAATGCAGTTTTAATAGAAGCATCACCACCAAATTTCAAGTTTGAATCTGAAATACTGGGAAAACAAAAAAGGAGCGAGGCTTAGCTGCCATTTTCAGAGACCACTTTGTCTCCCATAGAATGTCTCTTGGGAAGTTTTCGTCAGTTTTGAATATGTGTCTTTTAAAATACAACAAAAACAATCTCCTCCCAATACTCTTCATTGTCCTATACAAGCCACCGCAGTCATGTCACAGTTTTTATTGATAATTTTAAAAACCGAGTTGCTTTCAGTTGTATGCACAGATTTTGATAGTTTGGTTATTACAGGTGATTTTAATATTCATGTGGATAATGTTGATGACAGAAATGCAAATGAGCTGAGTTCTGTACTTGAATCCTTTTAGATCTCACTCAGCACGTAAGTGGCCCCACCCACAGCAGAGGGCACACTCTAGATCTGTTAGTTACAAAGGGGTGAATATTTCAAATGTAAACGTGGTCGATGTTGCTCTTTCGATCATTTCTGTGTTTTTTTTGACATTGTGTTTCACTAACAAACCACCAGTGGACTCAGCAACTGTTCGAAGAAGGCGCATAAATGAAAAAATACGAGTGAACTATTTATGGAAATGATAAACTTTGAGAATGCATCGTATTCTACTGTAGATGAACTGTTTAACTCTGTCCCACCTCTAGTGTTTTGAATGTTCAGGATACCGTTGCACCTGTGAAGGTTACAATAGTGAAAAATAAGCAGAAGGCGCCGTGGGCTAAAGCAGACTCGGTCAGGGCACAAAAGAGAAAGTGCCGGAGGGCCGAGCGGAAGTGGCGCAAGTCCAACCTCCAGGTAGATTACGAGATCTTCAAAGATAAGTTGTGCGAGTTTAACCGGGTGCTACGTAGTACGAGAGAAAGGTATTTTTCTGAAATGATTGAAGGCTGCAGCAACAATCTGCGTGTTCTGTTCTCAACAGTTAATAGATTAACAAACCCCCCTGTTCAAATGCCATTAGAGCTTACTTCCAAACGTAAATGCAATGAGTTTGCTAATTTTTTCAATGACAAGGTTCAAGGCATCAAAAACGCCATTGTCTCCAATCCACAGATAACCATCCAACAGCCAGAAAGGCTCTCTGAGCTAACTCACTTTGCACCTGTAAATGATAAAACTGTCCAAGAGATAATCTCCAGTTTGAGCTCCTCCACATGCAGCCTGGATGTACTACCCACTAGATTTCTGAAGTCTGTTCTGAGCAGTCTGTTACCTTCACTCACACAGATAGTAAACATGTCCCTTCATTCTGGAATATTCCCAAAGGCCCTGAAAACTGCAGTCATCAGGCCCCTGCTAAAAAAGAGCAGTCTGGATGCTACGGTACTTAACAACTATCGTCCCATCTCAAATCTGCCATTTATGGGGAAAGTCCTTGAGAAAGTTGTCTACCTACAGCTTACTAGATTTCTTATAATCAACAACTCATTTGATATGTTTCAGTCCGGCTTTAGACCCCACCACAGCACTGAGACTGCTCTCGTTAAGGTTACAAACGATATCCGGCTGAACACTGACGCAGGCAAAGTCTCAATCTTAATCTTGTTAGATCTGAGTGCTGCCTTTGACACTGTCGACCATGAGATCCTCTTACAGAGACTAGAGGACTGGGTTGGCGTCGCTGGCACCGCCCTAAGTTGGTTTAGGTCTTACCTTGAAGACAGGAAGTACTTTGTGGAGATTGGAAACTGTGTCTCAGATCATATGGCCCTGACCTGTGGAGTCCCACAGGGGTCGATCCTGGGACCTCTTCTGTTCAATCTCTACATGCTGCCGTTAGGTCAGTTAATACGCAGAAACAAAGTTTCCTATCATAACTATGCAGACGACACTCAGATCTATGTCTCACTGACTGCAGGAGAACATGGACCAGTGGACTCACTCCTTCACTGTATCCAACAGATCAGTGAGTGGATGCAAAACAACTTCCTTCAGCTAAACGCAGACAAAACTGAAATGATTGTCTTTGGTCCCCAGAAACAAAGAGAGAGCGTCATCTGTCACCTACAGTCTCTCTCCCTAAAACCTTCAAACAAGGTCAGAAATCTAGGGGTAATACTGGACTCAGACTTAAATTTTAATAGCCACATCAAATCAGTAACATCAGCAGCTTTTTACCATCTAAAAAACATTGCCAGGATCAAAAACATAGTGTCTAAAGCAGACTTGGAGATTCTTATCCATGCATTTGTCTCCAGTAGGTTAGACTACTGCAATGGCCTGCTCACAGGTCTGTCCAAACAGGCTGTAAAACAGCTGCAGTACATTCAAAATGCAGCAGCTCGAGTCCTGACTAGAACCAGGAAGTACGACCACATTAGTCCAGTCCTCAGGTCTCTGCACTGGCTTCCTGTGGCTCAGAGAATAGACTTTAAAACAGCTCTGCTTGTTACAAGTCTCTCCATGGCCTCGCACCAAAATATATTAGTGACATGTTAGTCCCATATGAACCAGCCCGACTCTGAGGAGCACAGGACTGGACTCCTGCTGGACTCTGAGGAGCACAGGGACTGGACTCCTGCTGGACTCTGAGGAGCACAGGGACTGGACTCCTGCTCTGAGACACGGACTGACTCCTTAGTGCCAGAGTCAGAACTAAACATGGGGAGGCTGCTTTTCAGATTCATGCTGCTAAAATCTGGAACAGTCTTCCTGAAGACGTGAGACAGGCCTCCTCTCTGACAATGTTTAAAACCAGGTTAAAGACAGTTCTGTTTAACTGTGCATACAACTGAGGGATTTTATATTTTTATCTTTCTTTTTAAGCATTTTGTGAATATTCGTCAACATTAATCAGAATCTGAATCAGAATAATTTTTATTGCCACGTAAGTAACAGGAAGTCACAGACTTGGAAATTGCTTTGGCTCAATGCAACAGTCAGAAAGAGATAATAAAAAATAAAGAATAAAAAACACTTCTAAAGAATAAATTTAAATTTAAAATAGAGTTACAGTTACTATTTACAATATACAAGTGCACATGGTGCACACAATGTAAGGTGACAGCAGTACAGTGAAGTAAAGTGACGTATGATGGGCAGTAAAGTGACTTTATAAAGGGCGGGGACAGGTTAAGAAGTGTTCAAGAGTCCAACAGCAGAGGGGAAGAAACTGTTCTTGTGGCGGGAGGTTCTAGTCCTGATGGACCGCAGCCTCCTGCCTGAGGGGAGTGGTTGGAATAGTCCATGTGCAGGTGAGAGGGGAGTGGTTGGAATAGTCCATGTGCAGGTGAGAGGGGAGTGGTTGGAATAGTCCATGTGCAGGTGAGAGGGGAGTGGTTGGAATAGTCCATGTGCAGGTGAGAGGGGAGTGGTTGGAATAGTCCATGTGCAGGTGAGAGGGGAGTGGTTGGAATAGTCCATGTGCAGGTGAGAGGGGAGTGGTTGGAATAGTCCATGTGCAGGTGAGAGGGGAGTGGTTGGAATAGTCCATGTGCAGGTGAGAGGGGAGTGGTTGGAATAGTCCATGTGCAGGTGAGAGGGGAGTGGTTGGAATAGTCCATGTGCAGGTGAGAGGGGTCGGCTGTGATACGACCAGCCCGGCCTCGAGCTCGGGCGACGTACAGGTCCTGCAGCGATGGAAGGCTGCGGCCGATCACTTCCTCTGCAGAGCGCACAATGCACTGTAGTCTCTGTTTGTCCCTGACTGTGGCTCCAGCGAACCACACGGTGATGGAGGAGGTGATGGAGGAGGTGATGGAGGAGGTGATGGAGGAGGTGATGGAGGAGGTGATGAAGGAGGTGATGGAGATGGTGATGGAGGAGGTGATGGAGGAGGGGATGGAGGAGGTGATGGAGGAGGTGATGGAGGAGTTGACGGAGGAGGTGATGGAGGAGGTGATGGTGGAGGTGATGGAGGAGGTGGTGGAGGAGGTGGTGGAGGAGGTCAACATCTGTGCAGGCAGCTTGGCTTTCCTGAGCTGCCGCAGGAAGTACATCCTCTGCTGGGCCTTCTTGATGAGGGAGCTGATGATTCCCAGGAAACGGAAGGACTCCACAGAGGTGATGGGGGAGTCCATCACGGAGGGTGGGGGCGGGGGGACAGTGCTCTTCCTGAAGTCCACAATCATCTCCACTGTCTTCTGGGCGTTCAGCTCCAGGTTGTTACCACTGCACCAGGACACCAGCCGGTCCACCTCCCTCCTGTAGGAGACACCAGGACACCAGCCGGTCCACCTCCCTCCTGTAGGAGACACCAGGACACCAGCCGGTCCACCTCCCTCCTATAGGAGACACCAGGACACCAGCCGGTCCACCTCCCTCCTGTAGGAGACACCAGGACACCAGCCGGTCCACCTCCCTCCTGTAGGAGACACCAGGACACCAACCGGTCCACCTCCCTCCTGTAGGAGACACCAGGACACCAGCCGGTCCACCTCCCTCCTGTAGGAGACACCAGGACACCAACCGGTCCACCTCCCTCCTGTAGGAGACACCAGGAAACCAGCCGGTCCACCTCCCTCCTGTAGGCGGACTCATCGTTGTTGGAGATGAGTCCAATGAGGGTGGTGTCGTCCGCGAACTTGATCAGCTTCACAGAGTCGTGGCTGGAGGTGCAGTGGTTGGTGTACAGGGAGAAGAGCAGGGGAGAAAGAACACAGCCCTGTGGGGCTCCTGTATTTATAATCCGAGAGTCCGAGACATTCTTCCCCAGACGCACTCGCTGCTTCCTGTCCGTCAGGAAGTCAGTGATCCACCTGCAGGTGGAATCGGGCACGTTGAGCTGGGAGAGCTTGTCCTGGAGCAGGGATGGCAGGATTGTGTTGAAGGCAGAGCTGAAGTCCACGAACAGGACCCTGGCGTAGGTCCCCGGGGAGTCCAGGTGCTGTAGGATGTGGTGGAGGGCCAGGTTAATGGCGTCGTCTACAGATCTGTTGGCTCTGTAGGTGAACTGCAGGGGGTCCAGGAGGGGGGAGGTGAGGGACTTGAGATGGGAGAGGACCAGGCGTTCAAATGACTTCATGACGACAGACGTAAGTGCTACAGGTCTGTAGTCATTGAGTCCTGTGATCCTGGGCTTCTTCGGGACGGGGACAATGATGGAGGATTTGAAGCAGGTCGGGACATGGCAGGACTGCAGAGAGGTGTTGAAAATGTCCGTGAACACAGGAGTAAGCTCACTGGCGCAGTGTCTCAGAGTGGCCGGAGACACGTGGTCCGGGCCAGGAGCTTTGCGGGGGTGCAGCCTCAAGAAGAGTTGTTTAATCTCTTTAGCGGCTATTGTTAGGCTGGGGGCAGGGCTGATGGGTGGGTCGTTAGAGTAGTGGGGGAGGGAGAGGTGTCAGGGGCAGCATCAAAGCGACTGAAAAATAAGTTCAGTTCGTCAGCTAGCTTGTGGTCGTCAGCACAGGGGGGGGCTTTGGGTTTGTAGTTGGTGATCTCCCGTAGGCCCCTCCAGACAGAAGCAGTATCGTTGTTACCAAACTGCTCCTGTAGTCGTTCTCTGTGCCGGGACTTGGCTGCTTTCAGTTCTTTCCTGAACTGATATTTAGCTGCTTTGTAGCCGCTGCGGTCCCCCTCCCTGAAAGCAGACTCCTTTGCTTTCCTGAGCTGCCGGAGTTTAGCAGTGAACCAGGGTTTGTCGTTGTTATAGATGACCCTGGTCCTTGTTGGAATGATGCTATCCTCACAGAAGTGAATGTATGACGTCACAGTGTCCGTGTATTCATCCAAACTATCTGTGGCAGCTCTGAAAAGGTCCCAGTCTGTAGATTCCATGCATGCAGCTCTTCCACAGCTTCATCAGACCACACTTTGGAGCTCCTCACTGCAGGTTTCGAGAGCTTTAGTCTGTGTCTGTAAGCAGGAACCAGATGTATCATGGAGTGATCTGAGAAGCCGAGGGCTGCCTTGGGAACAGCGCGAAAAGCTCCGCGCACGGTGGTGTAACAGTGATCCAGAGTGTTCTCCTCTCTGGTCGGGCATTTGATAAACTGTATTTGGGTAATTCCTGGCTCAAGTTTCCCTTATTAAAATATATAGAGGGCTCATATAGAAGTGGACATTAAAGGGCTCATATATAACAACTATTACACATATTTAGTTCAATGTACATCTAACATTCTTATCAGAGGTCACTACATAGACATTTCTAACATATCATTTGTTAACAATGAATAATATTGTACATTATTAGGTGAAAAGTTTGAATATATAAGAACTACTTAATGGATTAAGTTTTTACCTTATTACTATTCTAACTCTGACTCTGATTACATTCTCAAACTCTCAGAATGTGATGAGTCTGACGCCTGAACTGTGAGAATAGAAATGTGATCGGTGCGCCCCCTGCAGGTGATGGAGTTTTACTGCGAGTCGTGTGAGACGGCCATGTGTCTGGAGTGCACCGAGGGAGAGCACCGTGAGCACGTGACGGTTCCTCTGCCAGACGTCCTGGAGCAACACAAGATGGCGCTAAAGAGCCAGCTGGACACCGTCAGGAACAGGTACTGATTCTACTGTTGAGCGTTCACTGCAAAAGTCACGGCAAAAAAGTCAAAAATGACTCAAATCTTAATCTGAGACATTCTGCATTAAAACCAGATTCACCAATGCGACAAAGCAAAATAATCTTGTTTGAAAAAGATATAGAAATGTCTCCTTTGGAATGAAGAAATAAAGTTCTTGAAAGAGTCTGTCTCTACTGAGCAGTCCGTCTCTACAGAGCAGTCCGTGCGTCTCTACAGAGCAGTGCGTCTCTACTGAGCAGTCCGTCTCTACTGAGCAGTCCGTGCGTCTCTACAGAGCAGGCCGTCTCTACTGAACAGTCCGTGCGTCTCTACAGAGCAGTCCGTGCGTCTCTACAGAACAGTCCGTGCGTCTCTACAGAGCAGTCCGTGCGTCTCTACAGAACAGTCCGTGCGTCTCTACAGAGCAGTCCGTGCGTCTCTACTGAACAGTCCGTGCGTCTCTACTGAACAGTCCGTGCGTCTCTACTGAGCAGTCCGTGCGTCTCTACTGAGCAGTCCGTGCGTCTCTACAGAGCAGTCCGTGCGTCTCTACAGAGCAGTCCGTGCGTCTCTACAGAACAGTCCGTGCGTCTCTACTGAGCAGTCCGTGCGTCTCTACTGAGCAGTCCGTCTCTACTGAGCAGTCTGTGGGTCTCTACTGAGCAGTCCGTGCGTCCTACAGAGCAGTCCGTGCGTCTCTACAGAGCAGTCCGTGCGTCTCTACAGAACAGTCCGTGCGTCTCTACAGAGCAGTCCGTGCGTCTCTACAGAACAGTCCGTGCGTCTCTACAGAACAGTCCGTGCGTCTCTACAGAGCAGTCCGTGCGTCTCTACAGAACAGTCCGTGTGTCTCTACTGAGCAGTCCGTGCGTCTCTACTGAGCAGTCCGTCTCTACTGAGCAGTCCGTGGGTCTCTACTGAGCAGTCCGTGCGTCTCTACTGAGCAGTCCGTGCGTCTCTACTGAGCAGTCCGTGGGTCTCTACTGAGCAGTCCGTGCGTCTCTACAGAACAGTCCGTGCGTCTCTACAGAACAGTCCGTGTGTCTCTACTGAGCAGTCCGTGCGTCTCTACTGAGCAGTCCGTCTCTACTGAGCAGTCCGTGGGTCTCTACTGAGCAGTCCGTGCGTCTCTACTGAGCAGTCCGTGTGTCTCTACTGAGCAGTCCGTGTGTCTCTACAGAGCAGTCCGTGCGTCTCTACAGAGCAGTCCGTGCGTCTCTACAGAGCAGTCCGTGCGTCTCTACTGAGCAGTCCGTCTCTACAGAGCAGTCCGTGGGTCTCTACTGAGCAGTCCGTGCGTCTCTACAGAGCAGTCCGTCTCTACAGAGCAGTCCGTGGGTCTCTACTGAGCAGTCCGTGCGTCTCTACAGAGCAGTCCGTGCGTCTCTACTGAGCAGTCTGTGCGTCCCTACAGAGCAGTCCCTGCGTCTCTACAGAGCAGTCCGTGCGTCTCTACTGAACAGTCCGTGCGTCTCTACAGAACAGTCCGTGCGTCTCTACTGAACAGTCCGTGCGTCTCTACTGAACAGTCCGTGCGTCTCTACAGAACAGTCCCTGCGTCTCTACTGAACAGTCCGTGGGTCTCTACAGAGCAGTCCCTGTGTCTCTACTGAGCGGTCCGTCTGTCTCTACAGAACAGTCCGTGCGTCTCTACAGAGCAGTCTGTGCGTCTCTACAGAGCAGTCCGTGCGTCTCTACAGAGCAGTCCGTGCGTCTCTACAGAGCAGTCCGTGTGTCTCTACAGAGCAGTCTGTGGGTCTCTACAGAGCAGTCCGTGCGTCTCTACAGAGCAGTCCGTGGGTCTCTACAGAGCAGTCTGTGGGTCTCTACTGAGCAGTCTGTGGGTCTCTACCGAACAGTCTGTGGGTCTCTACAGAACAGTCAGTGTGTCTCTACCGAACAGTCAGTGTGTCTCTACCGAACAGTCAGTGTGTCTCTACCGAACAGTCCGTGGGTCTCTACCGAACAGTCCGTGGGTCTCTACCGAACAGTCCGTGGGTCTCTACAGAGTAGTCCGTGCGTCTCTACAGAACAGTCTGTGGGTCTCTACAGAACAGTCCGTGCGTCTCTACAGAGCAGTCCGTGCGTCTCTACAGAACAGTCCGTCCGTCTCTACAGAACAGTCCGTGTGTCTCTACAGAGCAGTCCGTGCGTCTCTACAGAGCAGTCCGTGGGTCTCTACAGAGCAGTCCGTGCGTCTCTACAGAACAGTCCGTCCGTCTCTACAGAACAGTCCGTCCGTCTCTACAGAACAGTCCGTCCGTCTCTACAGAACAGTCCGTGTGTCTCTACAGAGCAGTCCGTGCGTCTCTACAGAGCAGTCCGTGTGTCTCTACAGAGCAGTCCGTGCGTCTCTACTGAACAGTCCGTGTGTCTCTACAGAACAGTCCGTCCGTCTCTACAGAACAGTCCGTCCGTCTCTACAGAGCAGTCCGTGTGTCTCTACAGAGCAGTCCGTGCGTCTCTACAGAGCAGTCTGTGGGTCTCTACCGAACAGTCTGTGGGTCTCTACCGAACAGTCAGTGTGTCTCTACAGAGCAGTCTGTGGGTCTCTACAGAACAGTCCGTGCGTCTCTACCGAACAGTCCGTGGGTCTCTACAGAGCAGTCCGTGCGTCTCTACCGAACAGTCTGTGGGTCTCTACAGAGCAGTCTGTGGGTCTCTACCGAACAGTCTGTGGGTCTCTACAGAGCAGTCCGTGGGTCTCTACTGAACAGTCTGTGGGTCTCTACAGAACAGTCCGTGGGTCTCTACAGAGCAGTCCGTGGGTCTCTACAGAGCAGTCCGTGGGTCTCTACAGAGCAGTCTGTGGGTCTCTACAGAGCAGTCCGTGGGTCTCTACAGAGCAGTCCGTGGGTCTCTACAGAGCAGTCCGTGGGTCTCTACAGAGCAGTCCGTGGGTCTCTACAGAGCAGTCCGTGGGTCTCTACAGAGCAGTTCCACGCTCGAACGCGTGTCCCCATTGACTTTGTATTGAAAGTCGCCGCAGCACGATCCGGTCTGAACCTGGCTTTAGCCTGATCCTAACAGCTGGTGTGAGGGTTAGGCTCAAGCTGTTTTAACTCAGCACAATGTATGTCCAGTTTTATATCTATATATTTTTCTGTGTTTTTATTGTTGCTGGTTTTATTTGGTTTTAAATGTGCTCTACAAATCACAACAGTAGTTATCTCGAGGACTTTACAAAAGCAGCTGTTTTCCCAACTGAATGTTCTTCTACATCAAACTCATCAAATTCTGGCCTATGGGCTAAATCCAGTCCACAAGACCATTTTAGTGGCCCCTGAAATGTTTTTCAATGATCATTACAACTTGCAGCATCAATGGGATACAACCATATCATTGAACTAACTAGAAGTTAATGCCAAAGATTGATTTGTTATATTTAACTATGAATCCTCAATTAGTCCTGGTCTCTGAAAGGCGCTATATAATTAAAGTTTACTTACTTACAACTTATATATTTTTTGACCAACCAGGTTGTGTGTCTTTGAACAGCCCCACTGTTGGTTTGGGATCAGACATGATGTACTTGATTATGGAGGTCACGGTTAGTGTTGACTCTGTGCAGACTGCCGCAGCTCACCGCCGCCATCGACCTGGTCAACGACATCTGGAAGCAGCTGAGCGAGCGGAAGGCCGAGGCCGTGGGCGAGATCAGCTCCACATTTGAGGATCTGGAGAAGGCTCTGCACCAGAGGAAGAGCGCCCTCATTACAGAGGTGGACAACATCTGCAGCAGCAAGCAGAAGGTCAGCACTTAGCATCAGAATAAAGCTATCGCCATGGAAACAGACGATAAAGTACACCTCACAGGTTTATAACTAATTTGATTTTAATTAGATTTGTTTTACATTTACAATTCGGCTGCATTTAACCCTGTATGGGTCGAATTGTAGCCCCGCCTACATTAAGGGTTAGGGTTAATGCAGCCAAACTTTAGCCCTGCCTACATTTAGGGTTAGGGTTAGGGCCCGTCCCAATTCTGAGGGCACGGTTGTTCCGAGTGCCCTCGCAGGATATTCTCTCCAAGAAATGGGACACCCCTGGATCTAGGGGACAATATGCAAATGACGCAGAAAACATGTTCCATGTCACACGCATGATCAATGTGTCTGATTTCACCACAGATAAGATATGACACAGATATGACTTTTTGAAGCAAAGTCGTTTTTAACACCCACCGGCCCACCCGTTTTTTATTTTTTTATTCTTTTTTTGTTCTGCTGGCAATAGCAGATATATTTTGAACTTCACAAGCTGTATGCCATTTTTAAGATTATTATCTTATATATTTTACACTTGGGTTAGGCTTATAAATCTACATTTATATACAATTTAGACTTTGCATTCAAAAGATATAACACATAATATGGGCACAAAATAAATCACTTCTGTATAAGTTTTTTACCTTTGGTCTTGTGCTGCATAAATAAATTAGATCTCCTCCCTGCTAGCTTTAGGTCTTTCACTCCGTAAATGACCATGAAAAAAGCATATCCACAAACAAGCGGCCACTTTTTGTGCATGGCCAGTTTGTATTTGTTGTTAGCCAGACTGCTAGAGAAGTACAGCGCCTTGCGAAAGTATTTGGCCCCCTTGAACCTTTCAACATTTCGCCACATTTCAGGCTTCAAACATAAAGATATAAACATGTAATTTTTTGTCATGAATCAACAACAAGTGGGACACAATCGTGAAGTGGAACGAAATTTAGTGGATAATTCAAACTTTTTTAACAAATAAAAAACTGAAAAGTGGGGCGTGCAATATTATTGGGCCCCTTTACTTTCAGTGCAGCAAACTCAGTCCAGAAGTTCAGTGAGGATCTTTGAATGATCCAATGTTGTCCTAAATGACTGATGATGATAAATAGAATGCACCTGTGTGTAATCAAGTCTCCGTATAAATGCACCTGCTCTTTGATAGTCTCAGGGTTCTGTTTAAAGCACAGAGAGAACCATGAAGACAAAGGAACACACCAGGCAGGTCCGAGATACTGTTGTGGAGAAGTTTAAAGCCGGATTTGGATACAAAAAGATTTCCCAAGCTTTAAACATCTCAAGGAGCACTGTGCAAGCAATTATATTGAAATGGAAGGAGTATCAGACCACTGCAAATCTACCAAGACCCGGCCATCCCTCCAAACTTTCATCTCAAACAAGGAGAAGACTGATCAGAGATGCAGCCAAGAGGCCCATGATCACTCTGGATGAACTGCAGATAACTACAGCTGAGGTGGGAGAGTCTGTCCATAGGACAACAATCAGTCGTGCACTGCACAAATCTGGCCTTTATGGAAGAGTGGCAAGAAGAAAGCCATTTCTCAAAGATATCCATAAAAAGTCTGGTTTAAAGTTTGCCACAAGCCACCTGGGAGACACACCAAACATGTGTAAGAAGGTGCTCTGGTCAGATGAAACCAAAATCAAACTTTTTGGCCACAATGCAAAACGATATGTTTGGCGTAAAAGCAACACAGCTCATCACCCTGAACACACCATCCCCACTGTCAAACATGGTGGTGGCAGCATCATGCTTTGGGCCTGCTTTTCTTCAGCAGGGACAGGGAAGATGGCTAAAATTGATGGGAAGATGGATGGAACCAAATACAGGACCATTCTGGAAGAAAACCTGTTGGAGTCTGCAAAAGACCTGAGACTGGGACGGAGATTTATCTTCCAACAGGACAATGATCCAAAACATAAAGCCAAATCTACAATGGAATGGTTCACAAATAGACGTATCCAGGTGTTAGAATGGCCAAGTCAAAGTCCAGACCTGAATCCAATCGAGAATCTGTGGAAAGAGCTGAAGACTGCTGTTCACAAACGCTCTCCATCCAACCTCACTGAGCTCCAGCTGTTTTGCAAGGAAGAATGGGCAAGAATTCCAGTCTCTCGATGTGCAAAACTGATAGAGACATACCCCAAGCAACTTGCAGCTGTAAATGCAGCAAAAGGTGGCGCTACAAAGTATTAGCGCAAGGGGCCGAATAATATTGCACGCCCCACTTTTCAGTTTTTTATTTGTTAAAAAAGTTTGAATTATCGAATAAATTTCGTTCCACTTCACGATTGTGTCCCACTTGTTGTTGATTCTTGACAAAAAATTAAAATTTTATATCTTTATGTTTGAAGCCTAAAATGTGGCAAAAAGTTGAAAGGTTCAAGGGGGCCGAATACTTTCGCAAGGTACTGTATTCTTTTGCCAAATGATTGACATGTCTAAGTAGCCAATAGGGAAAGGTTTCTAGCAATGGGTGGGACATGGGGGTTTTTAAGGGTGTGAGGGCCCTCGCCTCTTCTCCTAAGTATTGGAACACCCTACAACCCCCTCGGGCACACGCAAAATCTAGGCCAAGGGTGGTTTTTAAGGGATAGGGTGAGAATTGGGACGGACCCAAAATGAAGCCGAACTTAGGGTTAGGGTTAACTTTAGCCCCGCCTACATTTCAGTGGCAGATCACATTCTGGTCAGAATCGTAGTCCGGCTACATTAGAAGACTAGATTTAAAATTATGGATAACATCAGTATGTTTGCATGGTTAGGGTTAGTACCCTTACAGATAAGAAGTTCTCAAAGTATATATTGTATAGTAATTAATTACATAGTATACATTATATAGTGCATACAAAATATATATTATTTAGTATATAATATAGATACAAAAGTTCCAGATGATACTGTGGCAGAATCAGGATTATGGATTATTCACATACTGGTCATGTAGTCACGGACCGTCACGGACCGGTCATGCAGTCACAGACCGGTCATGCAGTCACGGACCGCACGGACCAGTCATGCAGTCACAGACCGGTCATGCAGTCACGGACCGCACGGACCAGTCATGCAGTCACAGACCGGTCATGCAGTCACGGACCGGTCATGTAGTCACGGACCGTCACGGACCGGTCATGCAGTCACAGACCGGTCATGCAGTCACGGACCCGTCATGCAGTCACGGACCGCACGGACCAGTCATGCAGTCACGGACCGCACGGACCCGTCATGCAGTCACAGACCGGTCATGCAGTCACGGACCCGTCATGCAGTCACGGACCCGTCATGCAGTCACGGACCCGTCATGCAGTCACGGACCCGTCATGCAGTCACGGACCCGTCATGCAGTCACGGACCCGTCATGCAGTCACAGACCGGTCATGCAGTCACAGACCCGTCATGCAGTCACAGACCCGTCATGCAGTCACAGACCGGTCATGCAGTCACGGACCCGTCATGCAGTCACGGACCCGTCATGCAGTCACGGACCCGTCATGCAGTCACAGACCGGTCATGCAGTCACAGACCGGTCATGCAGTCACGGACCCGTCATGCAGTCACGGACCCGTCATGCAGTCACGGACCCGTCATGCAGTCACGGACCCGTCATGCAGTCACGGACCCGTCATGCAGTCACAGACCGGTCATGCAGTCACGGACCCGTCATGCAGTCACGGACCGGTCATGCAGTCACAGACCGGTCATGCAGTCACGGACCGCACGGACCAGTCATGCAGTCACAGACCGGTCATGCAGTCACGGACCGCACGGACCAGTCATGCAGTCACAGACCGGTCATGCAGTCACGGACCGGTCATGTAGTCACGGACCGTCACGGACCGGTCATGCAGTCACAGACCGGTCATGCAGTCACGGACCCGTCATGCAGTCACGGACCGCACGGACCAGTCATGCAGTCACGGACCGCACGGACCCGTCATGCAGTCACAGACCGGTCATGCAGTCACGGACCCGTCATGCAGTCACGGACCCGTCATGCAGTCACGGACCCGTCATGCAGTCACGGACCCGTCATGCAGTCACGGACCCGTCATGCAGTCACAGACCGGTCATGCAGTCACGGACCCGTCATGCAGTCACAGACCGGTCATGCAGTCACAGACCCGTCATGCAGTCACGGACCCGTCATGCAGTCACAGACCGGTCATGCAGTCACAGACCCGTCATGCAGTCACAGACCCGTCATGCAGTCACAGACCGGTCATGCAGTCACGGACCCGTCATGCAGTCACGGACCCGTCATGCAGTCACGGACCCGTCATGCAGTCACAGACCGGTCATGCAGTCACAGACCGGTCATGCAGTCACGGACCCGTCATGCAGTCACGGACCCGTCATGCAGTCACGGACCCGTCATGCAGTCACGGACCCGTCATGCAGTCACGGACCCGTCATGCAGTCACGGACCCGTCATGCAGTCACGGACCCGTCATGCAGTCACGGACCCGTCATGCAGTCACGGACCCGTCATGCAGTCACGGACCCGTCATGCAGTCACGGACCCGTCATGCAGTCACGGACCCGTCATGCAGTCACGGACCCGTCATGCAGTCACGGACCCGTCATGCAGTCACAGACCGGTCATGCAGTCACGGACCCGTCATGCAGTCACGGACCCGTCATGCAGTCACGGACCCGTCATGCAGTCACGCACCCGGACCGGTCATGCAGTCACGGACCCGGACCGGTCATGCAGTCACGGACCCGGACCGGTCATGCAGTCACGGACCCGGACCGGTCATGCTGTCACGGACCCGTTATGCAGTCACGGACCCGGACCGGTCATGCAGTCACGGACCGGTCACGTATCTATAAAACACGTGTGAAGCGGGATGGATTATTTCTGGGTTGGGTTAGTGCTAAGTAACAGTGATTTATACAGAGTGTGGTTTCCTCCAGGTGCTGCAAGCCCAGCTCAGCGTCCTGCTTCAGGGCAAAGAGAACATCGAGAGCAGCTGCCACTTCACAGAGCAGGCCCTGAGCCACGGCAGCGCCACAGAGGTCCTGATGGTCCAGAAGCAGATGGGGGAACGGGTCAGCGCCCTGTCCCGACACAGCTACCCTGAGAGTCCCCACGACAACGCACACCTGCAGTGCCAGGTCAGACAGACACACACCTGCAGAGCCAGGTCAGACACACACACACCTGCAGAGCCAGGTCAGACAGACACACACCTGCAGTGCCAGGTCAGACAGACACACACCTGCAGAGCCAGGTCAGACACACACACACCTGCAGAGCCAGGTCAGACAGACACACACCTGCAGTGCCAGGTCAGACACACACACACCTGCAGTGCCAGGTCAGACACACACACACCTGCAGAGCCAGGTCAGACAGACACACACCTGCAGTGCCAGGTCAGACACACACACACCTGCAGTGCCAGGTCAGACACACACACACCTGCAGTGCCAGGTCAGACACACACACACCTGCAGAGCCAGGTCAGACACACACACACCTGCAGAGCCAGGTCAGACACACACAGACACACCGACACACACACACACTGTTGTGGTCAGTGTGGAGGAGAAGGAGCGTATGTTGTTGTCAGAGTGTGTGGAGGCATGGCAAAAACGTTATTTGATGAGAAAAAAAACAAATTCTGCCATTTTGCCACAGGACGAAAGAGCCATGTCAGCTAAAAAGACTGCGACCAATATCGCAATGCGCCGTAGTGCGTGTGCGCGCCCAACGCTGCATTGGAGCGAAGACACTCAGCTGTGCGCGTGCTGGTCTCTTCACGCACCACGCGCGGCGGTGCTAATTTCATGTCAAAGATTATAACAGGAAAAACTTTCCTCAGATCTGGGAAAAAAGTGTCGTGTCAGGGCAGGGCCTTGCGTTTCGAGTTCGCACAGGGCCTCGCACCCCCCTTGCGACAGGCCTGGGTCTAACGAATCCGTCACACTGACCACACCCCCTCACACTGACCACGCCCCGTAGTGGTCTTTGGAGAAGTGAGTCCCAAGTGTGAGCTAAAGTGAAGGCCCCCTTGTCCCTGTTGATGGTCCATGTATTTCTTTAGTGTCCCAGTGCATGATGGGATGTGATGAAGCAGCAGCTTCTTTACATTTATGTCTCATTAAAAGAAGCTTCTAAGCCTCAGACATTAAACCTAATGAACTTTATATTTAGAGCTTATGTTTATTAATGTGATGCAGGTGGAGACCGACGGGCTGCGGCGCTCCATCCAGAACCTTGGAGTGCTCATCACCTCGGGCGCCGTGGGTCACACCAGCGTGGCCACGGGGGAGGGGCTCCGGCACGCACTGATGAACCAGCACACCACCGTCACCGTGACGACCAAAGACAAGGACGGCGAGCTGGTGAAGAGCGGCAACGCCATCCTCCAGGCACAGATCCTGTCTGCAGAGGGCGCCACCACCGAGGCAGAGGTTGTGGACAACAAGAACGGCACCTACGAGGTGAGCGGGGGTCACAGGTACCAGGGGTCACAGGCGCCAGGGGCAGGCACCAGGGGTCACAGGTACCAGGGGTCACAGGTACCAGGGGTCACAGGCACCAGGGGTCACAGGCACCAGGGGTCACAGGTACCAGGGGTCACAGGTACCAGGGGTCACAGGTACCAGGGGTCACAGGCACCAGGGGTCACAGGTACCAGGGGTCACAGGTACCAGGGGTCACAGGTACCAGGGGTCACAGGCACCAGGGGTCACAGGCGCCAGGGGTCACAGGTACCAGGGGTCACAGGTACCAGGGGTCACAGGTACCAGGGGTCACAGGCGCCAGGGGTCACAGGCGCCAGGGGTCACAGGTGCCAGGGGTCACAGGTACCAGGGGTCACAGGCACCAGGGGTCACAGGCACCAGGGGTCACAGGCACCAGGGGTCACAGGCGCCAGGGGTCACAGGCGCCAGGGGTCACAGGCGCCAGGGGTCACAGGCGCCAGGGGTCACAGGCGCCAGGGGTCACAGGCGCCAGGGGTCACAGGCACCAGGGGTCACAGGCACCAGGGGTCACAGGTACCAGGGGTCAGAGGGACATGTACATGGGATCATTCAGTCCACTCCTGAAAGTCGCTTCATTATCTAACCCCCTCATTTCTAGCCCTCCCCCCTCCACCTTCTCCCCCACCTCCTCCCCCACCTCCTTTCTCAGCACTCACCCTCCCCCCAGTAACATGACATGTGTGTGTTGCCAGGTTGGCTACACAGTCCGCTCAGAGGGCGAGTTCAGCTTCTCTCTCAGTCTGTACCAGCAGCCGGTCCGTGGCAGCCCCTTCAGACTGCGTGTGGTCAAACCCTCAGACCTGCTGCAGTCTCCTGACGACGTGAAGAGAAGAGTCAAATCTCCGAGTGGAGGAGGAGGCCACGTCCGGCAGAAGGCGGTCCGCAGACCCTCCTCCATGTACAGCACCACCAAGAAGAAGGAGAACCCCATCGAGGACGAGCTCATCTACAGAGTGGGTCAGTGTCTGAGGACTACTGTCACACACACACAGAGACTACACACAGAGGCTACACACACACAGAGACTACACACAGAGGCTACACACAGAGGCTACACACACACAGAGACTACACACAGAGGCTACACACACACAGAGGCTACACACACAGACTACACACACAGACTACACACAGAGACTACACACAGAGACTACACACAGAGACTACACACAGAGGCTACACACAGAGACTACACACAGAGACTACACACAGAGACTACACACAGAGACTACACACAGAGACTACACACAGAGACTACACACAGAGACTACACACAGGGACTACACACAGAGACTACACACAGAGGCTACACACAGAGGCTACACACAGAGGCTACACACAGAGGCTACACACAGAGGCTACACACAGAGGCTACACACAGAGGCTACACACAGAGGCTACACACAGGGACTACACACAGAGACTACACACAGAGGCTACACACAGAGGCTACACACAGAGGCTACACACAGAGGCTACACACAGAGGCTACACACAGAGGCTACACACAGAGGCTACACACAGAGGCTACACACAGAGGCTACTACACACAGAGACTACACACAGAGGCTACACACAGAGGCTACACACAGAGGCTACACACAGAGGCTACACACAGAGGCTACACACAGAGGCTACACACAGAGGCTACACACAGAGGCTACACACACACACACTGGAGCGTTCTACTGCTGCTGTGAGGAGCCGTGTAATATTAACGGCTTATTAACCGAGCACGAGGTTTGTATGGCCTTAATGCACAGACCGAGCCTTAATGCACAGACCGAGCCTTAACGTACAGACCGAGCCTTAATGCACAGACCGAGCCTTAATGCACAGACCGAGCCTTAATGCACAGACCGAGCCTTAATGCTCAGACCGAGCCTTAATGCACAGACCGAGCCTTAATGTACAGACCGAGCCTTAATGTACAGACCGAGCCTTAATGCACAGACCGAGCCTTAATACACAGACCGAGCCTTAATGCACAGACCGAGCCTTAATGCACAGACCGAGCCTTAATGCTCAGACCGAGCCTTAATGCACAGACCGAGCCTTAATGCACAGACCGAGCCTTAATGCACAGACCGAGCCTTAATGCACAGACCGAGCCTTAATGCACAGACCGAGCCTTAATGCACAGACCGAGCCTTAATGCACAGACCGAGCCTTAATGCACAGACCGAGCCTTAATGTACAGACCAAGCCTTAATGTACAGACCGAGCCTTAATGCACAGACCGAGCCTTAATGCACAGACCGAGCCTTAATGCACAGACCGAGCCTTAATGCACAGACTAAGCCTTAATGCACAGACCGAGCCTTAATGCACAGACCGAGCCTTAATGCACAGACTGAGCCTTAATGCACAGACCGAGCCTTAATGTACAGACCGAGCCTTAATGTACAGACCGAGCCTTAATGCACAGACCGAGCCTTAATGCACAGACCGAGCCTTAATGCACAGACCGAGCCTTAATGCACAGACCGAGCCTTAATGTACAGACCGAGCCTTAATGTACAGACCGAGCCTTAATGTACAGGCCGAGCCTTAATGCACGACCGAGCCTTAATGCACAGACCGAGCCTTAATGTACAGACCGAGCCTTAATGTACAGACCGAGCCTTAATGTACAGGCCGAGCCTTAATGCACAGACCGAGCCTTAATGTACAGACCGAGCCTTAATGTACAGACCGAGCCTTAATGCACAGACCGAGCCTTAATGCACAGACCGAGCCTTAATGTACAGACCGAGCCTTAATGCACAGACCGAGCCTTAATGCACAGACCGAGCCTTAATGTACAGACCGAGCCTTAATGTACAGACCGAGCCTTAATGTACAGGCCGAGCCTTAATGCACAGACCGAGCCTTAATGTACAGACCGAGCCTTAATGTACAGACCGAGCCTTAACGTACAGACCGAGCCTTAATGTACAGACAGAGCCTTAATGTACAGACTGAGCCTTAATGTACAGACCGAGCCTTAACGTACAGACTGAGCCTTAATGCACAGACCGAGCCTTAATGTACAGACTGAGCCTTAATGCACAGACTGAGCCTTAATGCACAGACCGAGCCTTAATGTACAGACCGAGCCTTAATGCACAGACCGAGCTTTAATGCACAGACCGAGCCTTAATGTACAGACCGAGCCTTAATGCACAGACCGAGCCTTAATGCACAGACCGAGCCTTAACGTACAGACAGAGCCTTAATGTACAGACAGAGCCTTAATGCACAGACCGAGCCTTAATGCACAGACCGAGCCTTAATGCACAGACCGAGCCTTAATGTACAGACAGAGCCTTAATGCACAGACAGAGCCTTAATGCACAGACCGAGCCTTAATGTACAGACAGAGCCTTAATGCACAGACCGAGCCTTAATGTACAGACAGAGCCTTAATGTACAGACCGAGCCTTAATGCTCAGACCGAGCCTTAATGCACAGACCGAGCCTTAACGTACAGACAGAGCCTTAATGCACAGACCGAGCCTTAATGTACAGACAGAGCCTTAATGCACAGACCGAGCCTTAATGTACAGACCGAGCCTTAACGTACAGACAGAGCCTTAATGTACAGACCGAGCCTTGATGCACAGACCGAGCCTTGAGCCTTAATGCACAGACCGAGCCTTAATGTACAGACCGAGCCTTAATGTACAGACCGAGCCTTGATGTACAGACCGAGCCTTAACGTACAGACCGAGCCTTAACGTATAGACCGAGCCTTAATGCACAAACCGAGCCTTAACGTACAGACTGAGCCTTAATGTACAGACCGAGCCTTAATGCACAGACCGAGCCTTAACGCACAGACCGAGCCTTAATGCACAGACCGAGCCTTAATGTACAGACCGAGCCTTAATGTACAGACCGAGCCTTAATGCACAGACCGAGCCTTAATGTACAGACCGAGCCTTAATGTACAGACCGAGCCTTGATGCACAGACCGAGCCTTGATGCACAGACCGAGCCTTAATGTACAGACCGAGCCTTAACGTACAGACCGAGCCTTAATGTACAGACCGAGCCTTAATGCACAGACCGAGCCTTAATGCACAGACCGAGCCTTAATGTACAGACCGAGCCTTAACGCACAGACCGAGCCTTAATGCACAGACCGAGCCTTAATGCACAGACCGAGCCTTAATGTACAGACCGAGCCTTAATGCACAGACCGAGCCTTAATGCACAGACCGAGCCTTAATGTACAGACCGAGCCTTAACGCACAGACCGAGCCTTAATGTACAGACCGAGCCTTAATGCACAGACCGAGCCTTAATGCACAGACCGAGCCTTAATGTACAGACCGAGCCTTAATGTACAGACCGAGCCTTAATGCACAGACCGAGCCTTAACGCACAGACCGAGCCTTAATGCACAGACCGAGCCTTAGATCAGATTCAGATTCATTTATTTGCCATTTGCAGAAAAACCACATAGGAAAAACTGTGCAAGACTACCCCGGTGTGCACCAGACACACACCAGAGCTCTTGCCACGGCGTCATCTTTACGGCGCCATGCGGCGCATGTAAAGACGGTCTTAATGTACAGACCGAGCCTTAATGCAGATATATTTGCTCTCTATATAGAGATGTATTTGTTCTCCATATAGATATATTTGCTCTCCATATAGAGATGTATTTGCTCTCCATATAGAGATATATTTGTTCTCTCTATAGAGATGTATTTGCTCTCCATATAGAGATATATTTGCTCTCCATATAGAGATATATTTGCTCTCCATATAGAGATATATTTGCTCTCCATATAGAGATATATTTGCTCTCCATATAGAGATATATTTGCTCTCCATATAGAGATATATTTGCTCTCCATATAGAGATATATTTGCTCTCCATATAGAGATGTATTTGCTCTCTCCATATAGAGATGTATTTGCTCTCCATATATAGATATATTTGCTCTCCATATAGAGATATATTTGCTCTCTATATAGAGATGTATTTGCTCTCCATATAGAGATATATTTGCTCTCCATATAGAGATATATTTGCTCTCCATATAGAGATATATTTGCTCTCCATATAGAGATATATTTGCTCTCCATATAGAGATATATTTGCTCTCCATATAGAGATGTATTTGCTCTCCATATAGAGATGTATTTGCTCTCCATATAGATATGTATTTGCTCTCCATATAGAGATGTATTTGCTCTCCATATAGAGATGTATTTGCTCTCCATATAGAGATATATTTGTTCTCCATGTGGCCCAGCCCTAGCGCAGAGAGTAAAACACTGTGTGACTTCAGGGACCAGAGGGAGAGACAAAGGAGAGTTCACAAACCTGCAGGGGATCTCCGCCTCCAGTAACGGTCGCATCGTGGTCGCGGACAGCAACAGTCAGTGCATCCAGGTAACTCTCTCACTTCATACTTAACCTCACAACAGTCAGTGCATCCAGGTAACTCTCTCACTTCATACTTAACCTCACAACAGTCAGTGCATCCAGGTAACTCTCTCACTTCATACTTAACCTCACAACAGTCAGTGCATCCAGGTAAGTCTCTCACTTCATACTTAACCTCACAACAGTCAGTGCATCAGGTAACTCTCTCACTTCATACTTAACCTCACAACAGTCAGTGCATCCAGGTAACTCTCTCACTTCATACTTAACCTCACAACAGTCAGTGCATCAGGTAACTCTCTCACTTCATACTTAACCTCACAACAGTCAGTGCATCCAGGTAAGTCTCTCACTTCATACTTAACCTCAGTTTAAATATCAGAGTTATAATATCAGAGTGATAATATCAGTGTAGAGATCAGAGTTAGATTGAGACATGAATAGAAATATAGGTAGTGTTTCTTCTTCTGCAGATTTTCTCCAACGACGGTCAGTTTAAGATGAGGTTTGGGGTCAGAGGTCGCTCCCCGGGGCAGCTGCAGAGACCCACGGGGGTCACTGTCGACTCCAACGGTGACATAATCGTCGCCGACTACGACAACCGTTGGATCAGCATCTTCTCCTCCGACGGAAAGTTCAAGGTGAGAAGTGACGAGGGCCTGACGAGGGCCTGACGAGGGCCTGACGAGGGCCTGACGAGGGCCTGACAGGTCTCTCACTGTTGTTGTGCCTACGGGCCAAACTCCGTTATTCTCCTGGGGGACTTTAACGCCCATGTGGGGGACGCCAGTGACACTTGGAGAGGGGTGAAGGGGAAGAATGGCCCTGTGTTCAGTTGTTGGACTTCTGTGCTAGTCACAGTTTATCCATCACCAACACCATGTTCCAGCACAAGGGTGTCCACCAGAGGGCGCCAGGACCTGTGGCTGGAGGTCTGTGATCGACTGTTGTCGTGTCATCTGACCTTCGGCTGCGTGTCTCGGACACTCTGATGAAGAGAGGGGCGTAGCTAAAGAGTGGGGCGGAGCTTAAGAGAGGGGCGGAGCTAAAGAAAGCGCAGAGCTGTCAACCGATCACCACCTGGTCGTGAGTTTGATCCGCTGCAGGAGAGGAAACTGTTCAAACCTGGCACAGACCAGGTCTCTGATGCTGATCCCGGCGGCAACCCCCGAACCCAGTGGTGGACACCGGTAGTAAGGGATGCTGTCAGACTGTAGAAGGAGTCCTATGATGGTTCGTAGGACTCCAGAGGCAGCTGTCCAGTACCGGCAGGCCAAGCGTGCCGCTGCCCGGGCTGTTGCAGAGGCAAAAACCCGGGACTGGGAGGAGTTGGTCGGCCTCGAAGAGATTCTGGCAAACCGTCCGGCGCCTCAGGAGGGGGAAGCAGTTCTTTGCCAACACCATGTACGGTGCGGGTGAAGAGCTGCTGACCTCGACTGGGGATATTGTCGGGCGGTGGAAGGAATACTTTGAGGTTCTCCGCAATACCCCCGTCACGTCCTCCGTCCTGGAGGCGGAGGCTGAGAATGTTGGGGCAGATACTTCCATCTCCCTGGCAGAGGTCACCAAGGTGGTTGGCAGCCTCCTTAAGGCGCTGGGAGTGGATGAGATCCGTCCTGACTATCTAAAGTCTCTGGATGTTGTAGGACTGTCTTGGCTGACACGTCTCTGCAACATCGCGTGGCGATCGGGGGCAGTGCCAATGGAGTGGCAGACCGGGGTGGTGGTCCCTCTCTACAAGAAGGGGGACCGGAGGGTGTGTTCCTATTATCGTGGGATCACACTCCTCAGCCTCCCCGGTAAGGTCTACTCCAAGGTACTGGAGAGGAGGCTACGTCCGATGGTTGAATCTCGGATTCAGGAGGAGCAGTGTGGTTTTCGTCCCGGTCGTGGAACACTGGACCAGCTCTATACTCTCCATCAGATACTCGAGGGTTCATGGGAGTTCGCCCAACCTGTCCACATTGTGAACTTGGAGAAGGCGTTCGACCGTGTTCCCCGGGGTGTCCTTTGGGGGGTTTTCTGGGGGGAGACAGTGTGTGGATAGGTAAGTCTGGGCGTCTCTGCTTAGGCTGCTGCCCCGTGACCGGCATCGAATGAAGCAGAAGAAAATGGAGGGATGGATATATACTGTGTGTGTATATATATATGTATGTATATGTATATGTATATGTATATATATATGTATATATATGTATATATATGTATATATATATATATATATATATATATATATATATAAAATGTGTGTATGTGTATATATATATGTATATATGTGTGTATGTGTATATATATATATATATGTATATATGTGTGTATATATATATATGTATATATATATATATGTATATATATATATATGTATATATATATATATGTATATATGTATAATGTGTATATATATATGTATATATATGTAACCCTAGTTCAGCGATGGCAAGCCCCAAGTGTGATCTCTGCGTTGTGTTGTTTGTGTTACTGGTCAGGGGCCAGCAGTGCGGAGAGGGAAACCAGGAGTCAATGGTGGAAGAGGCTGAACAGACGTTCCTCATTTATTGCCTTCATAAAAACAAAAGAGAACTGCCTCATTAAGAAGAAATTGTAACTGTTTTTGCAGTAATAAATTGTACATTCAAAGGCTGAATTGTAAAGTCCACATGCTAACAAGGACACGTGCAAGCTAGCACTCTAAAAACGAAATACAAAGTTATTTTTCCCACTTAAGTTTAACAGAGAAACAGCCTAAATGTACGATGACAAAATGCTAACCCACAATCAATATTTGGCACCCAACATACATTTATACACAAATAAACTTATTTTACACTCGGGAGCCCTCCTTACCTTCATAAAAACAAAAGAGAACTGCAGCGTTGCGTAGCTGCGGAGGGCTTATATAGTTAAGAAAACAAAGGGCGCCCTCTGTTGGCGCACGGACACATTACATCCTTACATCCACCCCCAGTTTGTTTGATGGCGTCTCAGACATCTTAACAACAAAATAACAAAATAAAATACAGGGTGAAAGTCTCTTTTGAATGAATAAGAGAAAATTGGAGGGGGTATTATTCTCTATTAAGAAAGTTGCGTTTCTCCTTGACCCTTTGCCATATTTTCCGACCTCGGGCAATCTTTTGATGGACTGTTTCATCGTGCATCGCTCTCAATTGAAAGGACAGTCTTTTGGGTGGCTGCCTGTTCCTTAGGGGGTTTCTTCTGCCCACAGCACATTCAGAAATACCCATTTCAGTATTTTGAATCTCCACTGGTGCATTATCTTCTTCCTCCATATCCTCCAATGGATCCTCCTCCCCGCAATCCTCATCAGAGCCAATCCTTGAATCATTGACACCATCAGTTCCATCCTCCACCTCATCTGCCGATAGTTCAGACTCCAAGGGAAAAAACATGCACTGGGTAAGAAGGTTTCCGTGGACCACTCTTTGCTTTTCACCATCTTCTGACTGAATGACATAAACCGGGACTCCAGGCTGTTTCTTTAGGACCAGGTAAGGCTTGGACTCCCACCGGTCCCCCAACTTCTGCCGACCTTCAACGGCGCAGACTTTGACTAATACTCTGTCTCCTGGAGCAAATGTAAGACTTTTCTTGACCCTGCTGTCATAATGCTTCTTTTGCTGCAGCTTGGCTTGTCTGGAGCTTATGTTGGCTTGAGCGTAAGCATGCTTTAGGCAGTCTTTGAGGTCCTGAACATAATCGCTGTATTCACAGGGGTTGCTGCCGTATGTTAGACCAAAGACCAGATCGACAGGAAGTCTTGGATGCCTGCCGTACATTAGATAGTAGGGACTGTAGCCTGTCGAATCATGTTGAGTGCAATTGTATGCATGTGTCATTGCATCAACATACTCGCTCCAACGAGGTTTCAGAGAAGGTTCCAGCGTGCCAAGCATATTCATGGTGTGGGTTTTGGTGATGCCTGTGATTTTACAAAGGTCTCGAACTATGGCACTCTCAAAATTACGTCCTTGGTCGGAATGAAGCCTTGCTGGGAAACCAAACCGGCAAAAGAAGTTTCTCCAAAGCACCTTAGCCACTGTGGAGGCCTTCTGGTCCCTTGTTGGGTATGCTTGGGCAAAGCGGGAGAAATGGTCTGTCACCACAAGCACATTCTCAATTTGACCCACAGACTTCTCTAGTGTGAGGAATTCCATACACACCAGCTCCATGGGGGCAGAGGTATGTATACTGACTAGCGGGGCATGGAGACCAGCAGGAGTCTTTCGAAGACAGCAACGCTCGCAACGCTCACACCACATCTTAACCTCTTGAAACATCCTTGGCCAGAGCAAAAGTTCTTTCAAACCCGAGGTGCCCTGATTCATTGTGCAGGGCAGTCATCACTCCTGTCTGAAGATTCTGAGGTAGGACCAACTGATTGATGACTCCTTTACGACTGTCCCAGACTGTGCGATACAGCGTTCCATCTCTCACAACCAACTTCCTCCACTCTTTTAGGAGAAGGGAGGCCTGTCCTCCCCAAGCCTCTCTCTCTCTTTTGCTTGGTTTGGAATTAAGTGCTTTGTAGCTCAACACTGGTCCCACAACAAGATCTTCCCTTTGAGCCGCCCGGATGTCCTGCTTGGTCATTGATGGGAGACATTCAGTACCAGCATCAGCGTAGGGCTCTGACTCTTGACTGGGCACAGGAGGCTCAGACTCTTTTGCCACCCTCTGTGGGCACGACAGGGCCCTAGCCACATCATTGCATGACATTCTTGAGAGCGCATCTGCATTAGCATTATTCCTTCCCTGACGATACTGAATGTCGAAATCAAAGCCTGACAACTGTGATACCCATCGCTGACTAGTGGCGTCCAACTTGGCAGTGGACATGACATATTTCAAAGGGTTGTTATCCGTCAGCACAGAGAACTTATGTCCATAGAGATGGTCGAAGAACTTTTCAGTCGCAGCCCACTTTAGAGCTAAAAACTCTAACTTGTGGGCTGGATAACGGGTTTCTGGTGGACTTAAACCTCGACTAGCATAAGCTATGACCTCCTCGACCCCATTCTGAACTTGCGCCAGGACCGCTCCCAAGCCTTCTCCGGAGGCATCAGTCTGCAGCACGAATGGCAGTGTGTAGTCCGGGTATCCAAGTAATGGAGCTGATGTGAGTTTTTCTTTCAGGGTGGTAAATGATCTTGTACACTCATCAGTCCATAGAAAGGGAGGGTCAGGTACAGTGGTTCTTTTCGTACCCCTTTTTTTCTTTCTGGGGTCACCAGAAGTGAGGCGGTAGAGGGGTGCAGCAATCTTTGCATAGCTCTCCACAAACCTCCTGTAGTACCCCGCAAACCCCAGGAAACGAAGGACCTCCTTACGGTTTGTTGGCTGTGGCCAGTCCTTCACCTTGCTTATCTTTTCAGGGTCAGTGCGGATACCTTCTGCACACACCTGATGCCCCAAGTATTGGACCTCCTTTTTCATCAAGTGGCATTTTGAGGGTTTCAGTTTAAGGCCATGTTTACGCAGTCTATCAAACACCAACTGCAGGCGTTGCAGGTGTCCCTCAAAATCCTTGGAAAATATTATGAGGTCATCAAGGTAGATAAGGAGGTGCGAGTAGTTCAAGTCTCCAAAACAGCAGGTCATCAACCTCTGGAATGTTGATGGGGCATTCTGTAAGCCAAACGGCATACGATTTGCTTCAAAGAGGCCCATAGGCGTGGTGAAAGCCGTTTTATGTTTATCCTGCTCTGCCACCTCCACCTGCCAATACCCCGATGTCAAGTCCAAGGTGGAAAAATACTGTGCTTGTCCAAGAGCTTCCAGAGCGTCTTCGATCCTAGGAAGAGGGAATGCGTCCCTTGTACTGCAGGAATTCAACCTCCTGTAGTCGACGCAAATCCTTAACGTCCCATCCTTCTTAACTACAACCACAATGGGTGACGCATACGGGCTCTTACTTGGGCGGATGACACCGGTGTCTTCCATGTCTTTTAAAAGATTGCGGACATCTTGCCATTGAGCAGGTGGTATTTTCCGATAGGGGAGACGGAACGGCTTGGGATCAATCAGAGGGATTTCATGTTGTACTGTCTTTGTGTGCCCAAAATCCATGGAATGTTGGGAGAATACATCACGGTTCTTTAGCAATAGTTGCCTCAAGCTTTCTCTCTGCTCCTCATTTTCCACTGCAGCCCCACTTAGATCCACTGGACATGTGACAGTGTCCCTGCTCTGAATCGCCTGCACAATCTGATCTTGAATATGACATGTTTCCATCTTGGAATCCCCAGAGCACTCCCCCTCATTACTCCACTGCAACACATCTCTAACGAGACAAACATTTGCAAGACAAGTATGTGGTTTAATCAACACTGGCTGGACAGAGAGGTTCATTACTCGGACTGGAACGACGCCCTTCCTGACATAGGCAAGCACTCTGCCCACTACTAGGCCCTCTGGCAGCTGAGAATTTACGTTACATTCAATCAGCGCAGTGTACGTTTTCTTTCTTGGCCCCCCTTTTACCCGGCACATCACATTCATTTCTTTGCTTGCAGGGACACACATTTTACTGCCAGTATAAACCGCAGGGCCAATGCGGTCGTCGAAACCACAAGGTTTTGTGCCACTCACCTCTGTCAAGGCAGAGTACCATTCTGGGTGCTTCTCCTGTACCATAACCAGGAATTGTTTTCCATATTGGGATTCAAAATGGCTTTTGGAGGCCCGTATGACATTAGTACCCACTAACAATGGAACTCCAGACCGGTACTCTGTTACCGGAACAACAAAAGCAGGCACATTGGCAAAGTCTTTCCCCGGAATCTTGAGATTTATGTATAAAAAACCAAAATGGGGAATAGTATGGCCTCCAGCCCCCTCCATTGGGATGCTAGACTCTTGTATCTCCTGCATACACAGCTCAGGGTGTGAGCGCCAGAAAGTGTCTGTGATGGTGGTCACTTGAGAACCAGAATCAATGAGCGCCTTACAGGACATCCCATTAACTTCAACCTGTCCCTCATTTAAAGGTCCGACAAGTGGGGTTTCCAATTCCTTTTGGGGGATCAGATGCATGCCCATGGTTGCCCCAGTCACCACAGGCTTTAGGAGTTTAAAGGCTGGCCACCTGTGATAGCGCCACTATCCGATGTGACAGCGACGTACGATCCAGCACTGGTAGAGGGCTCATTTTCAGGTAGCACCGCCCTACAGGACCTGGCCAAGTGTCCAGGTCTGCCACAGTGGTGGCACACTATGGTGGCTCTTCGGCTAGGGTCTCTGGGTCCTAAATTCGGCTTGAATGGTGAGGTGGGAGGGGTAAACTTTGTCTCCAACTGAGCAAGCCTTTTACTTTGTTCTTCTTGATGCAGTGCGATACTTTTCACGAGGTCTGTAAGTTCACGTAACTCAGAAGATTGTTTCCCCGTTTCAGCTCTCTCAGTTGCTCCACTTACTTGCCTATTTGTGACAGTCTGGACCTGGCTGAAAGTCTTCTTCTGCCTCGGCTGGTTGAACTTCTTGGCTTCTCTGGCTATATTCCTGAGCTCGTTCTGTAGCTCCCGAAAGCATAGCATTCTCGGCTTCATGGGAGCAATCCTCAAAAAAACATCCTCTTCAATCAACCCCCTCATGAACTGTCGCACCAGTTTTGCATCACGATCTGGGAATGGTCGGCCCCTGTTTTGGGTGTCTTCCACTTCTCTGAGCGTGGCCTCTAAAGCAATGGCAAAAGAACAGGCTGTCTCCCCTGAACGTTGGGTTCTCTCATAAAAGTCGGCCAGGGGATCCAGAGATCTCTGCATGTCACCATATTCTGACCGTAGTTCATCAAAAGCCCTCCCCGGGACTTGCTCTATTGGGGGGAGGTTTAGAACAAGCCTTCGTGCCTCTCCACTCAAATGCCTGACAATGGTTGCAAAACTGAGGTGGGATGGTAGGGCACCTGCATCTAAAAGATACTGCATGTCTCTGATCCAGTCCTCAATCAGTATTCTGCAGTCTGCACCACCACTGAAAATGGCCACATTTTTTACTTGATGAAACTGAGTGAAATTGGCTGGGCTGGGCTGGAAAGGAGGAGGCGCCTGGATCCCTGCACACTCATGTGGATAGGCGCTGGCCTGCATGTGGTATGGAGCTGGTTGTGCGATGGATGGGTACGTTTGATTAGCGTGCAGAGAGGCTTGGGAAGCAGGTGTGTTATTAACCCTCACTGGTTGCTGGCTTAGAACAGCGGCATGAGGTGCCATACTACCCGGAATAATAATGCCTGTGTTTTGTGGGTACTTTTCAAAAGCAGTTAACATTGGCCCACCGTAACTGCCCTGGGGATATTGGTAACTGGGTGTGTGGACATGGCGTTCTGGTACCTGCATGGGGGTTCCCCCAGTCATCAGATTGAGGTGAAGAGGGTTAGACTGTGGAGGCGTGGGCAGAGCATTATATGCCATATTCCAGGGTGATAATGCCTCATGCTGTTGGGCATACTGCTCCGAGTGCTCAGACGGATTCATCAGAATAACTGTTTGGTCCAAAGTCTGGATCTCTCCTTGTGCCCCACCTGGTCTGTCTGGCTGGCGGTATAACTTTGGCCTCACCGCAGGGGGAATCGTGGGAATGGGGCGTCGAGGAGTATCTTCATGGAGGTTTTGCACATTACTTTGCATGTTGATTAATTATAACGTGATATCCATCTCTTAAACCGATGAATCAATATTACAGAAATATTCACAAGATAGCATTCAATCACATAACAAAGCACTATTCAACAATGAGAATAAATTAATGTAATAAAGAGCATATAACTGAAAACTGAGGATACAGCTTATTATGACGTTAACAGTCCACAGAGTTGTCCGCTCTTCCTCTTATAAACCACCATCCGGGTCACGGCACCAAAGATGTAACCCTAGTTCAGCGATGGCAAGCCCCAAGTGTGATCTCTGCGTTGTGTTGTTTGTGTTACTGGTCAGGGGCCAGCAGTGCGGAGAGGGAAACCAGGAGTCAATGGTGGAAGAGGCTGAACAGACGTTCCTCATTTATTGCCTTCATAAAAACAAAAGAGAACTGCAGCGTTGCGTAGCTGCGGAGGGCTTATATAGTTAAGAAAACAAAGGGCGCCCTCTGTTGGCGCACAGACACATTACATCCTTACATATATATATGTATATGTGTATATATATATATGTATATGTGTATATATATATATGTATATATGTATATATATATATGTATATATGTATATATGTATATATGTATATATATATATATACTGTATATCTGTATATGTATGAGATATTGTTAGATATTGTTTTCTCTCAGAACAAAGTGGGAGCCGGCCGGCTGATGGGGCCGAAGGGCGTGGCGGTGGATAAGAATGGTCACATCATCACCGTGGACAACAAGGCCTGCTGCGTCTTCATCTTTCAGTCCAACGGGAAACTGGTCACTAAGTTTGGGGCCAAAGGGACGTCAGACCGGCATTTCGCAGGTACTGGACTCACTCTTGCTTTGTCCACTCGTATTTACTTATTTCAATCTGAATCAGAATTATTTTTGTTGTGAGTGACATTAGGTCACAAACTTGGAAATAGCTTTGGCTCAAGGTGCAAACAAGTTAATAAAGTTAAAAATATATATATAAAGCATATACGGGCGGCACATTGGCTGAGTGGATAGCACTCTCGCCTCTCAGCAAGAAGGTCCTGGGTTCGAATCCCGGTTGGACCAGGGCCTTTCTGAGTGGAGTTTGCATGTTCTCCCCGCGTCTGCGTAGGTTTCCTCCGGGTACTCCGGTTTCCCCTACCACTAAAAATATGTACAATAGGTCTGGCATGTGCCTCCTGTACTGGCACCTCCACTCCCAAAAAAAATAACAATTGTAAACCGCTTTGAGACTCCGATGTGCAGTGAAAAGGCGGTATATAAATAAAGATTACAATTACAATATAAGGTGGACCCAGGACTGAGGCTGTAGACCCAGGACTGAGGCTGTAGACCCAGGACTGAGGCTGTAGACCCAGGACTGAGGCTGTAGACCCAGGACTGAGGCTGTGGACCCAGGACTGAGGCTGTGGACCCAGGACTGAGGCTGTGGACCCAGGACTGAGGCTGTAGACCCAGGGCTGAGGCTGTAGACCCAGGGCTGAGGCTGTGGACCCAGGACTGAGGCTGTTGACCCAGGACTGAGGCTGTAGGCTGTGGACCCAGGACTGAGGCTGTGGACCCAGGACTGAGGCTGTAGACCCAGGACTGAGGCTGTAGGCTGTGGACCCAGGACTGAGGCTGTAGACTCAGGACTGGGCCCCAACACCGCATGGCCTCCCACTAACCATGTGATCTGTGGTCGTGTTTATCCTCACCCTGGTCCAGTGGTTTCGCTAGAGATCATTTCAGCCCGTCATAATGAAGGACAGGGTCCAAAAAAATCCGTCATGAGCTATTTTTATCCGTCATTTTATCGTCATTTTTAACAATTGTATAAACAAAAACAGGCTTTATAACGTGCTTTATTAGCTGTTCGTTTACAAATGTACAATACGTTTAATTTGTGAATATATAAAGTTGCATAAAAATCGCAAAACAATCGACAACTCTGCGTAACATTTAACCTGCATTAACATGTGGAACAAACACGTACAGGAGTTTGCCTGAATGCGGTTATTAAACCTTCTTTCGCGGCTTTGTGGACTTAAACTGAGCACTCGCCTGTTCATAATGGAATGTGTGCAGGGCTGGCGACACCGAGGCGATTGTCATTAGAGTTTGTGTTTTTGTCTCGGTCAGACGGCTTCGAAGTGCAGTTTTGATTTTATTTTGGAGACTGAAGCCGCGCTCAGCAGCGACACTTGACACAGGAATAACAAGCGCTACTTCTGCCAGAGTTTTGTAGTCTGGGAACATCTCCGCGTATGTGTTGATGAGAAGCTTACAGGAGTCCTTAAATGGCGGGTTAACTGAACCTGCAAGCACCCGTTTCACGGAGCGAAAGTCCCGTACCATCCTTTCCTTTTCAACGAGTGAGACCGCTGCGTTTGGGTGCGCGCCATAAAAGTCAGCAAGGCGCTCGACAGCATCCAAGCCGTACTCCTGCAGCGCGCTGTTCGTGTATAAACGGCGCTGGCGCCATCTAGTGGAGAGGACTACGACTCGCAATGTAAAATTATAACTTAATTTTCAATCCTTCAAAATGACGGACGGCCTTCCAAATTTTACGTCAGAAAAAAAAAAATCCGTCAATGACGGAGAATTTTCAGTTAATGTAACCTCTGCCCTGGTCCTAAACTCTGGTGCATTGTTTTCACTCTTCTGTTTTTCCCTTTTAGAAAAGAGCGGTGCGAGCTTAGCACTGGACCAAAAGCTTAGTAAATCTGGCCCCGTGTTCAGTAAGTATCTGTTGTGTGGTTGTTTGTCTCATGCTGCTCTCTGTTGTAGAAACGGTGTCCTCTTCGTCCTCTTCGTCTCTCTGGACCCCCCGTCTCACCCCCTCACCCCCTCTGCCCTGCCTCACCCCCTCTGATCTGCCTCCCCCAGGTCCTCACTTTGTGGCTGTGAACAACAAGAATGAGATCGTGGTGACGGACTTCCACAACCATTCTGTCAAAGTAAGACCTGATCTTTTTAACCCTGAAACCCACATTCTTTCTGTTCCTTTGGCAAACACTGACCTGGAGTTGTTTTACGGGCAGGTTTATTTGGATAGCACAGTTCATACACAAGGCAACTCAAAGTGCTGAACACAACAAGATAGAAACAGTCAAACAAGGATTCAAATCATAGATAATGTGGGACAAGTAAAGGGATGTCTTATCTTACATTAATCCCAGAACATCCAAAAGAATAAAGATAAAATCCTCCAGTTGTTGCAGAAACAGAACTGTTTTAACCTGGATTTCAACATTCTGTCTCACATTTTCATGATGACTCCAGATTTTTAGCTGCATGAATCTGAAACATTGCCTCCTCATGGTTCATCCTGACTCTGGACCAGCAGGAGGCCAGTCCACATGTGCTCTACTGAACAGTCCGTCTGTGCGTCTCCACTGAACAGTCCGTCTGTGCGTCTCTACTGAACAGTCCGTCTGTGTGCGTCTCTACTGAACAGTCCGTCTGTGCGTCTCTACTGAACAGTCCGTCTGTGCGTCTCCACTGAACAGTCCGTCTGTGCGTCTCCACTGAACAGTCCGTCTGTGCGTCTCTACTGAACAGTCCGTCTGTGCGTCTCTACTGAACAGTCCGTCTGTGCGTCTCCACTGAACAGTCCGTCTGTGCGTCTCCACTGAACAGTCCGTCTGTGCGTCTCTACTGAACAGTCCGTCTGTGCGTCTCTACTGAACAGTCCGTCTGTGCGTCTCCACTGAACAGTCCGTCTGTGCGTCTCCACTGAACAGTCCGTCTGTGCGTCTCCACTGAACAGTCCGTCTGTGCGTCTCCACTGAACAGTCCGTCCGTGCGTCTCTACTGAACAGTCCGTCCGTGCGTCTCTACTGAACAGTCCGTCTGTGCGTCTCCACTGAACAGTCCGTCCGTGCGTGTCTACTGAACAGTCCGTCTGTGCGTCTCTACTGAACAGTCCGTCTGTGCGTCTCCACTGAACAGTCCGTCTGTGCGTCTCTACTGAACAGTCCGTCCGTGCGTCTCTACTGAACAGTCCGTCTGTGCGTCTCTACTGAACAGTCCGTCTGTGCGTCTCCACTGAACAGTCCGTCTGTGCGTCTCTACTGAACAGTCCGTCCGTGCGTCTCCACTGAACAGTCCGTCCGTGCGTCTCTACTGAACAGTCCGTCTGTGCGTCTCCACTGAACAGTCCGTCTGTGCGTCTCCACTGAACAGTCCGTCTGTGCGTCTCTACTGAACAGTCCGTCTGTGCGTCTCCACTGAACAGTCCGTCTGTGCGTCTCCACTGAACAGTCCGTCTGTGCGTCTCCACTGAACAGTCCGTCTGTGCGTCTCCACTGAACAGTCCGTCTGTGCGTCTCCACTGAACAGTCCGTCTGTGCGTCTCCACTGAACAGTCCGTCTGTGCGTCTCCACTGAACAGTCCGTCCGTGCGTCTCTACTGAACAGTCCGTCTGTGCGTCTCTACTGAACAGTCCGTCTGTGCGTCTCCACTGAACAGTCCGTCTGTGCGTCTCTACTGAACAGTCCGTCTGTGCGTCTCTACTGAACAGTCCGTCTGTGCGTCTCCACTGGACAGTCCGTCTGTGCGTCTCTACTGAACAGTCCGTCCGTGCGTCTCCACTGAACAGTCCGTCTGTGCGTCTCCACTGAACAGTCCGTCCGTGCGTCTCTACTGAACAGTCCGTCTGTGCGTCTCTACTGAACAGTCCGTCTGTGCGTCTCTACTGAACAGTCCGTCTGTGCGTCTCTACTGAACAGTCCGTCTGTGCGTCTCCACTGAACAGTCCGTCTGTGCGTCTCCACTGAACAGTCCGTCCGTGCGTCTCTACTGAACAGTCCGTCTGTGCGTCTCCACTGAACAGTCCGTCTGTGCGTCTCTACTGAACAGTCCGTCTGTGCGTCTCTACTGAACAGTCCGTCTGTGCGTCTCCACTGAACAGTCCGTCTGTGCGTCTCTACTGAACAGTCCGTCTGTGCGTCTCTACTGAACAGTCCGTCTGTGCGTCTCCACTGAACAGTCCGTCAGTGCGTGTCTACTGAACAGTCCGTCTGTGCGTCTCTACTGAACAGTCCGTCTGTGCGTCTCTACTGAACAGTCCGTCTGTGCGTCTCTACTGAACAGTCCGTCTGTGCGTCTCCACTGAACAGTCCGTCTGTGCGTCTCTACTGAACAGTCCGTCTGTGCGTCTCTACTGAACAGTCCGTCTGTGCGTCTCTACTGAACAGTCCGTCTGTGCGTCTCTACTGAACAGTCCGTCTGTGCGTCTCCACTGAACAGTCCGTCCGTGCGTCTCTCCACTGAACAGTCCGTCTGTGCGTCTCCACTGAACAGTCCGTCTGTGCGTCTCCACTGAACAGTCCGTCTGTGCGTCTCTACTGAACAGTCCGTCTGTGCGTCTCCACTGAACAGTCCGTCTGTGCGTCTCCACTGAACAGTCCGTCCGTGCGTCTCTACTGAACAGTCCGTCTGTGCGTCTCCACTGAACAGTCCGTCTGTGCGTCTCTACTGAACAGTCCGTCTGTGCGTCTCTACTGAACAGTCCGTCTGTGCGTCTCCACTGAACAGTCCGTCTGTGCGTCTCTACTGAACAGTCCGTCTGTGCGTCTCTACTGAACAGTCCGTCTGTGCGTCTCCACTGAACAGTCCGTCAGTGCGTGTCTACTGAACAGTCCGTCTGTGCGTCTCTACTGAACAGTCCGTCAGTGCGTGTCTACTGAACAGTCCGTCTGTGCGTCTCTACTGAACAGTCCGTCTGTGCGTCTCTACTGAACAGTCCGTCTGTGCGTCTCTACTGAACAGTCCGTCTGTGCGTCTCTACTGAACAGTCCGTCTGTGCGTCTCCACTGAACAGTCCGTCTGTGCGTCTCTACTGAACAGTCCGTCTGTGCGTCTCTACTGAACAGTCCGTCCGTGCGTCTCTACTGAACAGTCCGTCTGTGCGTCTCCACTGAACAGTCCGTCTGTGCGTCTCTACTGAACAGTCCGTCTGTGCGTCTCTACTGAACAGTCCGTCTGTGCGTCTCCACTGAACAGTCCGTCCGTGCGTCTCCACTGAACAGTCCGTCCGTGCGTCTCCACTGAACAGTCCGTCTGTGCGTCTCTACTGAACAGTCCGTCTGTGCGTCTCCACTGAACAGTCCGTCTGTGCGTCTCTACTGAACAGTCCGTCTGTGCGTCTCTACTGAACAGTCCGTCTGTGCGTCTCCACTGAACAGTCCGTCTGTGCGTCTCTACTGAACAGTCCGTCTGTGCGTCTCTACTGAACAGTCCGTCTGTGCGTGTCTACTGAACAGTCCGTCTGTGCGTCTCCACTGAACAGTCCGTCTGTGCGTCTCTACTGAACAGTCCGTCTGTGCGTCTCCACTGAACAGTCCGTCTGTGCGTCTCTACTGAACAGTCCGTCTGTGCGTCTCTACTGAACAGTCCGTCTGTGCGTCTCTACTGAACAGTCCGTCTGTGCGTCTCTACTGAACAGTCCGTCTGTGCGTCTCCACTGAACAGTCCGTCTGTGCGTCTCCACTGAACAGTCCGTCTGTGCGTCTCTACTGAACAGTCCGTCTGTGCGTCTCTACTGAACAGTCCGTCCGTGCGTCTCTACTGAACAGTCCGTCTGTGCGTCTCCACTGAACAGTCCGTCTGTGCGTCTCCACTGAACAGTCCGTCCGTGCGTCTCTACTGAACAGTCCGTCTGTGCGTCTCTACTGAACAGTCCGTCTGTGCGTCTCTACTGAACAGTCCGTCTGTGCGTCTCCACTGAACAGTCCGTCTGTGCGTCTCTACTGAACAGTCCGTCTGTGCGTCTCTACTGAACAGTCCGTCTGTGCGTCTCCACTGAACAGTCCGTCTGTGCGTCTCCACTGAACAGTCCGTCTGTGCGTCTCTACTGAACAGTCCGTCTGTGCGTCTCTACTGAACAGTCCGTCCGTGCGTCTCTACTGAACAGTCCGTCCGTGCGTCTCTACTGAACAGTCCGTCTGTGCGTCTCCACTGAACAGTCCGTCTGTGCGTCTCCACTGAACAGTCCGTCCGTGCGTCTCTACTGAACAGTCCGTCTGTGCGTCTCCACTGAACAGTCCGTCTGTGCGTCTCCACTGAACAGTCCGTCTGTGCGTCTCTGAACTGAACAGTCCGTCTGTGCGTCTCCACTGAACAGTCGTCTGTGCGTCTCCACTGAACAGTCCGTCTGTGCGTCTCCACTGAACAGTCCGTCTGTGCGTCTCCACTGAACAGTCCGTCTGTGCGTCTCCACTGAACAGTCCGTCTGTGCGTCTCCACTGAACAGTCCGTCTGTGCGTCTCCACTGAACAGTCCGTCTGTGCGTCTCTACTGAACAGTCCGTCTGTGCGTCTCTACTGAACAGTCCGTCTGTGCGTCTCCACTGAACAGTCCGTCGGCGTCTACTGAACAGTCCGCGTGCGTCTCTACTGAACAGTCCGTCTGTGCGTCTCTACTGAACAGTCCGTCTGTGCGTCTCTACTGAACAGTCCGTCTGTGCGTCTCTACTGAACAGTCCGTCCTGTGCGTCTCTCACTGAACAGTCCGTCTGTGCGTCTCTACTGAACAGTCGTCCGTCCACTGAACAGTGCGTCTCTCACTGAACAGTCCGTCATGTGCGTCTCTACTGAACAGTCCGTCTGTGCGTCTCTACTGAACAGTCCGTCGTGGTCTCACTGACAGTCGTCTGTGCGTCTCTACTGAACAGTCCGTCTGTGCGTCTCTACTGAACAGTCCGTCTGTGCGTCTCTACTGAACAGTCCGTCTGTGCGTCTCTACTGAACAGTCCGTCTGTGCGTCTTACTGAACAGTCCGTCTGTGCGTCTCTACTGAACAGTCGTCTGTGCGTCTCTACTGAACACTTGGTTCTACTGAACCGTCTGTGCGTCTCCACTGAACAGTCCGTCTGTGCGTCTCTACTGAACAGTCCGTCTGTGCGTCTCACTGAACAGTCCGTCTGTGCGTCTCTACTGAACAGTCCGTCTGTGCGTCTCTACTGAACAGTCCGTCTGTGCGTCTCTACTGAACAGTCCGTCTGTGCGTCTCTACTGAACAGTCCGTCTGTGCGTCTCTACTGAACAGTCCGTCTGTGCGTCTCTACTGAACAGTCCGTCTGTGCGTCTCTACTGAACAGTCCGTCTGTGCGTCTCTACTGAACAGTCCGTCTGTGCGTCTCTACTGAACAGTCCGTCTGTGCGTCTCTCTACTGAACAGTCCGTCTGTGCGTCTCTACTGAACAGTCCGTCTGTGCGTCTCTACTGAACAGTCCGTCTGTGCGTCTCCACTGAACAGTCCGTCTGTGCGTCTCCACTGAACAGTCCGTCTGTGCGTCTCTACTGAACAGTCGTCTGTGCGTCTCTACTGAACAGTCCGTCTGTGCGTCTCTACTGAACAGTCCGTCCGTGCGTCTCTACTGAACAGTCCGTCTGTGCGTCTCCACTGAACAGTGCGTCTCCACTGAACAGTCCTGTGCGTCTCTACTGAACAGTCCGTCCGTGCGTCTCTACTGAACAGTCCGTCTGTGCGTCTCCACTGAACAGTCCGTCTGTGCGTCTCTACTGAAACAGTCCGTCTGTGCGTCTCCACTGAACAGTCCGTCTGTGCGTCTCCACTGAACAGTCCGTCTGTGCGTCTCCACTGAACAGTCCGTCTGTGCGTCTCCACTGAACAGTCCGTCTGTGCGTCTCCACTGAACAGTCTGTGCGTCTCTGTGCGTCGTCTCCACTGAACAGTCCGTCTGTGCGTCTCCACTGAACAGTCCGTCTGTGCGTCTCCACTGAACAGTCCGTCTGTGCGTCTCCACTGAACAGTCCGTCTGTGCGTCTCCACTGAACAGTCCGTCCGTGCGTCTCTACTGAACAGTCCGTCTGTGCGTCTCCACTGAACAGTCCGTCTGTGCGTCTCTACTGAACAGTCCGTCTGTGCGTCTCTACTGAACAGTCCGTCTGTGCGTCTCCACTGAACAGTCCGTCCGTGCGTCTCTACTGAACAGTCCGTCGTGCGTCTCCACTGAACAGTCCGTCTGTGCGTCTCACTGAACAGTCCGTCGTGCGTCTCTACTGAACAGTCCGTCCGTGCGTCTCTACTGAACAGTCCGTCTGTGCGTCTCCACTGAACAGTCCGTCTGTGCGTCTCTACTGAACAGTCCGTCTGTGCGTCTCCACTGAACAGTCCGTCCGTGCGTCTCTACTGAACAGTCCGTCTGTGCGTCTCTACTGAACAGTCCGTCTGTGCGTCTCCACTGAACAGTCCGTCTGTGCGTCTCTACTGAACAGTCCGTCTGTGCGTCTCTACTGAACAGTCCGTCCGTGCGTCTCCACTGAACAGTCCGTCCGTGCGTCTCCACTGAACAGTCCGTCTGTGCGTCTCTACTGAACAGTCCGTCTGTGCGTCTCCACTGAACAGTCCGTCTGTGCGTCTCTACTGAACAGTATGTCCGTGCGTCTCTACTGAACAGTCCGTCTGTGCGTCTCCACTGAACAGTCCGTCTGTGCGTCTCTACTGAACAGTCCGTCTGTGCGTCTCTACTGAACAGTCCGTCTGTGCGTCTCTACTGAACAGTCCGTCCGTGCGTCTCTACTGAACAGTCCGTCTGTGCGTCTCTACTGAACAGTCCGTCTGTGCGTCTCTACTGAACAGTCCGTCTGTGCGTCTCCACTGAACAGTCCGTCTGTGCGTCTCTACTGAACAGTCCGTCCGTGCGTCTCTACTGAACAGTCCGTCTGTGCGTCTCTACTGAACAGTCCGTCTGTGCGTCTCTACTGAACAGTCCGTCCGTGCGTCTCTACTGAACAGTCCGTCTGTGCGTCTCTACTGAACAGTCCGTCCGTGCGTCTCTACTGAACAGTCCGTCTGTCTGTGCGTCTCTACTGAACAGTCCGTCCGTGCGTCTCTACTGAACAGTCCGTCTGTGCGTCTCCACTGAACAGTCCGTCCGTGCGTCTCCACTGAACAGTCCGTCTGTGCGTCTCCACTGAACAGTCCGTCTGTGCGTCTCTACTGAACAGTCCGTCTGTGCGTCTCCACTGAACAGTCCGTCTGTGCGTCTCCACTGAACAGTCCGTCCGTGCGTCTCTACTGAACAGTCCGTCTGTGCGTCTCTACTGAACAGTCCGTCTGTGCGTCTCTACTGAACAGTCCGTCTGTGCGTCTCCACTGAACAGTCCGTCCGTGCGTCTCCACTGAACAGTCCGTCTGTGCGTCTCTACTGAACAGTCCGTCCGTGCGTCTCTACTGAACAGTCCGTCTGTGCGTCTCCACTGAACAGTCCGTCCGTGCGTCTCTACTGAACAGTCCGTCTGTGCGTCTCTACTGAACAGTCCGTCTGTGCGTCTCCACTGAACAGTCCGTCTGTGCGTCTCCACTGAACAGTCCGTCTGTGCGTCTCTACTGAACAGTATGTCCGTGCGTCTCCACTGAACAGTCCGTCTGTGCGTCTCCACTGAACAGTCCGTCTGTGCGTCTCCACTGAACAGTCCGTCCGTGCGTCTCCACTGAACAGTCCGTCCGTGCGTCTCCACTGAACAGTCCGTCCGTGCGTCTCTACTGAACAGTCCGTCCGTGCGTCTCTACTGAACAGTCCGTCTGTGCGTCTCTACTGAACAGTCCGTCTGTGCGTCTCCACTGAACAGTCCGTCTGTGCGTCTCTACTGAACAGTCCGTCCGTGCGTCTCTACTGAACAGTCCGTCTGTGCGTCTCTACTGAACAGTCCGTCTGTGCGTCTCTACTGAACAGTCCGTCCGTGCGTCTCTACTGAACAGTCCGTCTGTGCGTCTCTACTGAACAGTCCGTCTGTGCGTCTCTACTGAACAGTCCGTCCGTGCGTCTCTACTGAACAGTCCGTCTGTGCGTCTCTACTGAACAGTCCGTCTGTGCGTCTCTACTGAACAGTCCGTCCGTGCGTCTCTACTGAATAGTCCGTCTGTGCGTCTCTACTGTATAGTCCGTCCGTGCGTGCCGAGAGGTCCGTGCGTTGTGACGCACGAACGCGCATCACCATAGACTTCGCATTGAAAGCCGACGCAACGCATGATCCGGTCTGAAAGCACCAATAAACTCACTAGCATCAAAGCTCCGCCCACCACTGCCGGCCATCAATGCAGCAATACTGCGTTGGTGTATTGGCGGTGAGAACGGCCTTTACCTAACCCACTCTGGTACTTGACAGTGGTACTTGACAGTGGCACTTGACAGTGGCACTTGACAGTGGCACTTGACACTTGACAGTGGCACTTACCAGTGGCACTTGACAGTGGCACTTGACACTTGACAGTGGCACTTGACACTTGACAGTGGCACTTACCAGTGGCACTTGACAGTGGCTCTCGACACTTGACAGTGGCACTTGACAGTGGTACTTGACAGTGGTACTTGACAGTGGCACTTACCAGTGGTACCTGTGTTGGCAGGTGTACAACGCAGATGGGGAGTTCCTCTTCAAGTTTGGTTCTCATGGCGAAGGTAACGGTCAGTTCAACGCCCCCACGGGGGTCGCCGTGGACGCCAACGGCAACATCATCGTGGCCGACTGGGGCAACAGTCGCATTCAGGTACCACAGAGCTGCTCGAGAGGTGGTTTGAGGCTAAAGTTAGAGATGTTATTTTAGCATAGAGATATTGTTCACTTATCGTGTGCTCCTCATTCCTGATGCAACATCGTGGCAGAAAAATAAATATATACTGTATGAAATTTGCCTTTGTGCTCTCTGGTGCTGGAAGGTGTCACAGTCAAGACAAAGTGTCTTACAGTCACTGGGTCAAATACAGCCACTCTTACAGTCACTGGGTCAAATACAGCCACTCTTACAGTCACTGGGTCAAATACAGCCACTCTTACAGCAAATACAGCCACTCTTAGTCACTGGGTCAAATACAGCCAATCTTAGTCACTGGGTCAAATACAGCCACTCTTACAGTCACTGGGTCAAATACAGCAGCCACTCTTACAGTCACTGGATCAAATACAGCCACTCTTACAGTCACTGGATCAAATACAGCCACTCTTACAGTCACTGGATCAAATACAGCCACTCTTACAGTCACTGGATCAAATACAGCCACTCTTACAGTCACTGGATCAAATACAGCCACTCTTACAGTCACTGGATCAAATACAGCCTCTCTTACAGTCACTGGATCAAATACAGCCACTCTTAGTCACTGGGTCAAATACAGCCACTCTTACAGTCACTGGATCAAATACAGCCACTCTTACAGTCACTGGATCAAATACAGCCACTCTTACAGTCACTGGATCAAATACAGCCACTCTTACAGTCACTGGATCAAATACAGCCACTCTTACAGTCACTGGGTCAAATACAGCCACTCTTACAGTCACTGGATCAAATACAGCCACTCTTACAGTCACTGGATCAAATACAGCCACTCTTACAGTCACTGGATCAAATACAGCCACTCTTAGTAACTGGGTCAAATACAGCCACTCTTAGTCACTGCGTCAAATACAGCCACTCTTAGTCACTAGGTCAAATACAGCCACTCTTAGTCACTGGATCAAATACAGCCACTCTTAGTAACTGGGTCAAATACAGCCACTCTTAGTCACTGGGTCAAATACAGCCACTCTTAGTCACTGGATCAAATACAGCCACTCTTACAGTCACTGGATCAAATACAGCCACTCTTACAGTCACTGGATCAAATACAGCCACTCTTAGTCACTGGATCAAATACAGCCACTCTTAGTAACTGGGTCAAATACAGCCACTCTTAGTCACTGGGTCAAATACAGCCACTCTTAGTCACTGGATCAAATACAGCCACTCTTACAGTCACTGCGTCAAATACAGCCACTCTTAGTCACTGGATCAAATACAGCCACTCTTAGTAACTGGGTCAAATACAGCCACTCTTAGTCACTGGGTCAAGTACAGCCACTCTTAGTCACTGGGTCAAATACAGCCACTCTTACAGTCACTGCGTCAAATACAGCCACTCTTAGTCACTAGGTCAAATACAGCCACTCTTACAGTCACTGGATCAATTACAGCCACTCTTACAGTCACTGGGTCAAATACAGCCACTCTTACAGTCACTGGGTCAAATACAGCCACTCTTACAGTCACTGGGTCAAGTACAGCCACATTTATTTTCACTCCTGGTGGTCACTAGGGTTAGGGCAGTGTGTATGGGTTAGGGCAGTGTGTACGGGTTAGGGCAGTGTGTATGGGTTAGGGCAGTGTGTAATGGGTTAGGGCAGCGTGTATGGGTTAGGGCGTGTATGGGTTAGGGCAGTGTGTAATGGGTTAGGGCAGTGTGTATGGGTTAGGGCAGTGTGTATGGGTTAGGGCAGTGTGTATGGGTTAGGGCAGTGTGTACGGGTTAGGGCAGTGTGTATGGGTTAGGGCAGTGTGTAATGGGTTAGGGCAGTGTGTATGGGTTAGGGCAGTGTGTATGGGTTAGGGCAGTGTGTATGGGTTAGGGCAGCGTGTATGGGTTAGGGCAGTGTGTATGGGTTAGGGCAGTGTGTATGGGTTAGGGCAGTGTGTATGGGTTAGGGCAGCGTGTATGGGTTAGGGCAGTGTGTATGGGTTAGGGCAGTGTGTATGGGTGAGGGCAGTGTGTATGGGTGAGGGCAGTGTGTAGGGTTAGGGCAGTGTGTACGGGTTAGGGCAGTGTGTATGGGTTAGGGCAGCGTGTACGGGTTAGGGCAGCGTGTACGGGTTAGGGCAGCGTGTACGGGTTAGGGCAGCGTGTACGGGTTAGGGCAGCGTGTACGGGTTAGGGCAGCGTGTACGGGTTAGGGCAGTGTGTACGGGTTAGGGCAGCGGGTTAGGGCAGTGTGTACGGGTTAGGGCAGTGTGTACGGGTTAGGGCAGTGTTTTTGGGTTAGGGCAGTGTGTACGGGTTAGGGCAGTGTGTATGGGTTAGGGCAGTGTGTACGGGTTAGGGCAGCGTGTATGGGTTAGGGCAGTGTGTACGGGTTAGGGCAGTGTGTATGGGTTAGGGCAGTGTGTACGGGTTAGGGCAGCGTGTACGGGTTAGGGCAGCGTGTACGGGTTAGGGCAGCGTGTATGGGTTAGGGCAGCGTGTACGGGTTAGGGCAGTGTGTACGGGTTAGGGCAGCGTGTACGGGTTAGGGCAGCGTGTACGGGTTAGGGCAGCGTGTACGGGTTAGGGCAGCGTGTACGGGTTAGGGCAGCGTGTACGGGTTAGGGCAGTGTGTACGGGTTAGGGCAGCGGGTTAGGGCAGTGTGTACGGGTTAGGGCAGTGTGTTTGGGTTAGGGCAGTGTGTACGGGTTAGGGCAGTGTGTATGGGTTAGGGCAGTGTGTACGGGTTAGGGCAGCGTGTATGTTAGGGTTTGGGCAGTGTGTACGGGTTAGGGCAGTGTGTACGGGTTAGGGCAGCGTGTATGGGTTAGGGCAGCGTGTACGGGTTAGGGCAGCGTGTATGGGTTAGGGCAGCGTGTACGGGTTAGGGCAGCGTGTACGGGTTAGGGCAGCGTGTACGGGTTAGGGCAGTGTGTACGGGTTAGGGCAGCGGGTTAGGGCAGTGTGTACGGGTTAGGGCAGTGTGTTTGGGTTAGGGCAGTGTGTACGGGTTAGGGCAGTGTGTATGGGTTAGGGCAGTGTGTACGGGTTAGGGCAGCGTGTATGGGTTAGGGCAGTGTGTACGGGTTAGGGCAGTGTGTACGGGTTAGGGCAGCGTGTATGGGTTAGGGCAGCGTGTACGGGTTAGGGCAGCGTGTATGGGTTAGGGCAGCGTGTACGGGTTAGGGCAGCGTGTACGGGTTAGGGCAGTGTGTATGGGTTAGGGCAGTGTGTACGGGTTAGGGCAGCGTGTACGGGTTAGGGCAGTGTGTATGGGTTAGGGCAGTGTGTACGGGTTAGGGCAGCGTGTACGGTTTAGGGCAGCGTGTACGGGTTAGGGCAGCGTGTACGGGTTAGGGCAGTGTGTACGGGTTAGGGCAGTGTGTACGGGTTAGGGCAGTGTGTACGGGTTAGGGCAGTGTGTACGGGTTAGGGCAGTGTGTTTGGGTTATGGCTGTGACACATCTTGTCCATAACTCTCTTCAATAGTGGTTTTCTACTTAGACTAGATTAATCTTCCTAAACAAGCAGTTTGTAATCAAACACATACAAATATGTCTGATACTGATTTTCTGTCACAGGTGTTCGACAGCTCCGGCTCCTTCCTCTCCTACATCAACACCACAGCAGACCCTCTGTACGGGCCCCAGGGCCTGGCCCTCACCTGTGACGGACATGTGGCTGTGGCCGACTCTGGGAACCACTGCTTCAAGGTCTACCGCTACCTTCAGTAGGACCGCATCTGGTCTTCAAATACAGACCCAGGACTGGACCAGGACCCCGCCGGAGCACCCAGCCTCCAGATACAGACCCAGGACTGGACCAGGACCCCGCCAGAGCACCCAGCCTCCAGATACAGACCCAGATCTTGACCAGGACCCCGCCGGAGCACCCAGCCTTCAGATACAGACCCAGGACTGGACCAGGACCCCGCCGAAGCACCCAGCCTTCAGATACAGACCCAGGACTGGACCAGGACCCCGCCGGAGCACCCAGCCTCCAGATACAGACCCAGGGCCCGACCAGGACCCCGCCGAAGCACCCAGCCTTCAGATACAGACCCAGGACTGGACCAGGACCCCGCCGAAGCACCCAGCCTCCAGATACAGACCCAGGGCTGGACCAGGACCCCGCCAGAGCACCCAGCCTCCAGATACAGACCCAGATCTTGACCAGGACCCCGCCGAAGCACCCAGCCTTCAGATACAGACCCAGGACTGGACCAGGACCCCGCCGAAGCACCCAGCCTTCAGATACAGACCCAGGACTGGACCAGGACCCCGCCGAAGCACCCAGCCTTCAGATACAGACCCAGGACTGGACCAGGACCCCGCCGGAGCACCCAGCCTCCAGATACAGACCCAGGGCCCGACCAGGACCCCGCCGAAGCACCCAGCCTTCAGATACAGACCCAGGGCTGGACCAGGACCCCGCCGGAGCACCCAGCCTTCAGATACAGACCCAGGGCTGGACCAGGACCCCGCCGAAGCACCCAGCCTTCAGATACAGACCCAGGGCTGGACCAGGACCCCGCCGAAGCACCCAGCCTTCAGATACAAACCCAGGACTGGACCAGGACCCCGCCGAAGCACCCAGCCTTCAGATACAGACCCAGGACTGGACCAGGACCCCGCCGGAACACCCAGCATCCAGATACAGACCCAGGGCTGGACCAGCACCCCGCCGGAGCACGCAGCCTCCAGATACAGACCCAGGGCCCGACCAGGACCCCGCCGAAGCACCCAGCCTTCAGATACAGACCCAGGGCTGGACCAGGATCCCGCCGGAACACCCAGCATCCAGATACAGACCCAGGGCTGGACCAGGATCCCGCCGGAGCACCCAGCCTTCAGATACAGACCCAGGGCTGGACCAGGACCCCGCCGGAACACCCAGCCTTCAGATACAGACCCAGGGCTGGACCAGGATCCCGCCGGAACACCCAGCATCCAGATACAGACCCAGGGCTGGACCAGGATCCCGCCGGAACACCCAGCATCCAGATACAGACCCAGGGCTGGACCAGGACCCCGCCGGAACACCCAGCATCCAGATACAGACCCAGGGCTGGACCAGGACCCCGCCGGAGCACCCAGCATCCAGATACAGACCCAGGGCTGGACCAGGACCCCGCCAGAGCACCCAGCATCCAGATACAGACCCAGGGCTGGACCAGGACCCCGCCGAAGCACCCAGCCTTCAGATACAGACCCAGGGCTGGACCAGGACCCCGCCGGAGCACCCAGCCTCCAGACATGACCTATTTATTGACAAATCATTCAGTTGTGAAGGAAAAACTATGTGCACAGATGTGAGTGGGTTTAAAGTCGGGTCTCCAACCTTAGACAGTGGGTTAGAACCTGAGCTACAGTACACAAAGTAGGAGTCTGCCTCTTTGGGTTAGAGCTACTCAGAGCTTAGAGCTACTCAGAGGGTTAGAGCTACTCAGAGGTTGGCGGTGAGCTACTGGTGCCTCCCGAGCCTCAGGTTGGAGACCGCAGGTTTAAAGGGACCGTATGAAGAAAAAAACTAACATTCTATTTTACAACAATGCCATCTAGTGGTGAAATGTGGAATAGCAAGTATTCAACAATATTATTAATTTAAACAAAACAAAAAAACTGAACTAAATCTAAAGTGATCTTTAATGTTCACTGGTTTCAAAGTGCAGTTCGATGTATGGAGGTTATTTCGGGAGATCTCACTACATTTCGAGATTGATCAAATAAACCATAAACTGCAAGGCAAGTATTTTCTTTGACGATGGTCCCTCAATATTTAACAACAAATATAACATCATATAAAATATACCTGCACAAAGGACAGATACCTTTGATTAAAGTCAGGAGAGAGCCTTTGTTAGGGTTAGGAATCCTGCGGTCCTCCCATAGCCCTCAGTCTTACTCCTCTCTGGTCTCTCTCTGGTCTCTCTCTGGTCTCTCTCTCTGGTCTCTTTCTGGTTTCTCTGGGGCCTCTCTCTGGTCCCTCTCTCTGGTCTCTCTCTGGTCTCTCTCTCTGGTCTCTTTCTGGTTTCTCTGGGGCCTCTCTCTGGTCCCTCTCTCTGGTCTCTCTCTGGTCTCTCTCTCTCTCTGGTCTCTCTCTCTCTGGTCTCTCTCTCTGGTCTCTCTGGTCTCTGAAGGCTTTTACTGAGAGTGTACTTGGTAAAGTTCTCTGAGATGACTTCGAAAGCCAGCGATAAACAGGAGAGTCAGTTCTGTGGAGAGTCCGTTCTGTGGAGAGTCCGCTCTGTGGAGAGTCCGCTCTGTGGAGAGTCCGCTCTGTGGAGAGTCCGCTCTGTGGAGAGTCCGCTCTGTGGAGAGTCCGCTCTGTGGAGAGTCCGCTCTGTGGAGAGTCCGCTCTGTGGAGAGTCCGCTCTGTGGAGAGTCCGCTCTGTGGAGAGTCCGCTCTGTGGAGAGTCAGCTCTGTGGAGAGTCAGCTCTGTGGAGAGTCAGCTCTGTGTGTGAGTACTGTGTTTATCAGGACCTTTACACAGTCATAGATGAAAATCTGGAAGTTGGAAGCAACTTCCAGATGCTTCCAAATGCTTCCACATTTTTTCAGATCCATTTTGAAGGAGTTCCCAACCATGCAGAGTCACAAAATTCAGGCTCATTGATGACATAAACACAAGCTATGACCTGCCAAAATTGTGGAGCTCTAGCTATAACTTTGCGCAAAAGTGTGAGAAATGACATAAACCCCTATCATTCAAGGTATTGCAACGACCAAGGCTACGATCTGCCAAAATCTTAGAGCTCTAGCTGCAATTTTGGCCAAAAGGGAGACCTGTGTGTGAGTAGTGTGTTTATCAGGACCTTTACACAGTCATAGATGAAAATCTGGAAGTTGGAAGTCAACTTCCACATTTTTTCAGATCCATTTTGAGGGGGTTCCCAACCATGCAGAATCCCAAAATTCAGGCTCATAGATGACATAAACACAGGCTATGACCTGCCAAAATTGTGGAGCTGCATTTTCGTCCAAAAGGGAGGGAAACATACAGACGTGAATGCGTCCATTAGTTTGCATGGGACAAAGTCACCCTGTGTGTGTGAGGACATGTGTGTTTATGAGGACCTGTGTATATGTGTTTGTGAGGATCTGTGTTTGTGTGAGTGCATGTGTGTTTGGGAACCTGTGTTTTGAGGGCAATTGCTTGTGAGGACTTGTGTGTGAGGACCTGGGCCTGTGAGGTTGGGTTAGGGTTAGGCTTTTGACATGAACGTGTTGGGTTCAAGCCCAGGTCTCCACTGACTCCAACGGATGTCTGCGGTCGGTGCACATGGAAAAACAGCAATATGGACCAGTGGGAGTAGAGATTACAACAACCCTTGATACTCCAACTTGCAATGCATTGCTGGTAACTTACAGCAACAGCCATATGCATATGGCCCCTCCGACCACCACCAACCATTCATGGTAGGACATGCAGATAAACTAGAATGGAAAAACAGGCATGGAAGTTGTGAGACTCTTTGGTTGTGACTCAATTCGTCACTTAAGCCTCCACGCCACGTCAAGGCAGAGTCTCTAGTGGAGGTAAATATATATATATATTTTTTTTTGGATACTTCACATATTTGTGAAGTATTTTGTATATATATATATTTTATACTTTTTGTTATTTTGGTTTTTTTGTACTTCACATTTTGTGAAGTACTTTTTTTTTTGTTTTTTCAAATAAAACAAGACAATTACACAACAAGAACAACAACAACAAGAACAAGAATGAATACAGAACAAGTCAAGTCCTCACACACACACAGGTCTTCATACACACAGGTCCACACACACAGTCCTTAAAACAAAAAGTTCCACACACACACACACAGGTCTTCACACATACAGGTCCTCACACACTCGTCGGTCCTTAAGCAGGGTACTTTCTAATGACTGTGGCGTAATAGAGAAGAACCCGACTCGGCAGCCTGTCCACGTCCACTTTGCATTCCTTTATGGGCGGCATGTCCTGAGGAAGGGCGCGAGGCTCCTCGTCCTCCTCGTCTGCCGGGAAGAGCATCCGCCGCCGCTTCCTCAATGCAGGCACGGGACTGTCTAAGTCCCATACCGGGGTCCAGGGCTGGCGGTCGGCGGTCGAAGGGTGAGGCGGCGTCAAAGGCTCATATTCCGGGCTCAAAATATCAACCTCAGGCTCTGGCTCCTGCTCTGGATTGGACGGGTCCTTGGGGGACCCGTCCAAGGACCCCAGCCCTGAGCCCCAACAAGGCTTGGGGCTAAGGGCTGAAGCGGTCTGGCTCAGGGCTGAAGCGGTCTGGCTCAGGGCTGAAGCGGTCTGGCTCAGGTCTGAAGCGGTCTGGCTCAGGGCTGGCAAGCTCAGAGCCAGAGGAGTCGGGCGAGTCCTGATAAACCGGCTCAGGTCCCTCTGACTCTGAGCTGCTCGACACGGCTGGCCTGGTCTGCCTGTCTGGCCTGGTGTTGGAGGCCAGACAGAGGGCCTTCATTCTCAGGAGCCTGTCCTGGTATTGCCTCTCCCCGATGGGGAGGGCAACGTAAAATTTTGAGGCCGTGGCAGGGTCGTGGCACAGGGCCCTGGCCACCCTCCGCCGCTCCTTTTCAGTCAGGTGGTCATTGGCCTTACAAACAGAAAACATGAATAAACATCAAAAAACACAATTCAACTCTGCAGTCAATTTCACGCATGAATCAAGATGTTACCTGTGTGGCCACGCTGCTCCGGACCTTGTTGAACGTGATGGTGCCTTTCAGTCCGGCCGCTGACCAGGCCCTGTTAATTAATTCTGAGCCGTGCTTCAGCTGGGCCCCAGAACTGCTATGAAAAACAAAATTGGCCCCGCTGCACTCCTCCTTGCAAAAGGAGCCGATGGCCAGGAGGAGGAGCCAGTCAAACTCCTGCCGATCGAGCAGGATAGACGCCTGCCCGAACGTCATCGTTTTGTGGTCGTCCACCTTGGGGGAAAACAAAACAAAAATCTGTTGATGGATAAGAAACCAAGCGTGGGAAATAGAACTCGCCCCTGTTTTTCCCGGTATCGCACCGACCAAGGCTACAATCTGCCAAAATTTTAGAGCTCTAGTGGCAATTTCGGCCAAAAGGGAGACCTTTGTGTGTTTGTGTAGAGTGTTTATGAGGACCTGTGTTTATGAGGACCAGTGTGTGAGTACAAGTGTGTGTGTGTATGAGCACAATTCTGTTTATGAGGACCTGTGTGTGAGTACAAGTGTGTTTATGAGGACCTGTGTTTATGAGGACCTTAACACAGTCATAGATGAACATCTGGAAGTTGGAAGCAAGTCATAGATGAAAATCTGGAAGTTGTGTTTGAGGCCCATTGCTTGTGAGGACCTGTGTTTATGAGGACCAGTGTGTGAGTACAAGTGTGTTTATGAGGAGTCAGCTCTGTGGAGAGTCAGCTCTGTGGAGAGTCAGCACTGTGGAGAGGCCTCACTATCGTTTAGGAATAACTGAAAATAAAGAACAGTTAATTTCAGTTTTTGTAAGAAGGCTCCGCAGAGCTGACTCGTGTTAGTGAGGAGGCTCCACAGAGCTGACTCGTGTTAGTGAGGAGGCTCCACAGAGCTGACTCGTGAGGAGGTTCCACAGAGCTGACTCGTGAGGAGGTTCCACAGAGCTGACTCGTGAGGAGGTTCCACAGAGCTGACTCGTGTTAGTGAGGAGGCTCCACAGAGCTGACTCGTGTTAGTGAGGAGGCTCCACAGAGCTGACTCGTGTTAGTGAGGAGGCTCCACAGAGCTGACTCGTGTTAGTGAGGAGGCTCCACAGAGCTGACTCGTGTTAGTGAGGAGGCTCCACAGAGCTGACTCGTGTTAGTGAGGAGGCTCCACAGAGCTGACTCGTGTTAGTGAGGAGGCTCCACAGAGCTGACTCGTGTTAGTGAGGAGGCTCCACAGAGCTGACTCGTGTTAGTGAGGAGGCTCCACAGAGCTGACTCGTGTTAGTGAGGAGGCTCCACAGAGCTGACTCGTGTTAGTGAGGAGGCTCCACAGAGCTGACTCGTGTTAGTGAGGAGGCTCCACAGAGCTGACTCGTGAGGAGGTTCCACAGAGCTGACTCGTGAGGAGGCTCCACAGAGCTGACTCGTGTTAGTGAGGAGGCTCCACAGAGCTGACTCGTGAGGAGGTTCCACAGAGCTGACTCGTGTTAGTGAGGAGGTTCCACAGAGCTGACTCGTGAGGAGGTTCCACAGAGCTGACTCGTGTTAGTGAGGAGGCTCCACAGAGCTGACTCGTGAGGAGGTTCCACAGAGCTGACTCGTGTTAGTGAGGAGGTTCCACAGAGCTGACTCGTGTTAGTGAGGAGGCTCCACAGAGCTGACTCGTGAGGAGGTTCCACAGAGCTGACTCGTGTTAGTGAGGAGGCTCCACAGAGCTGACTCGTGAGGAGGCTCCACAGAGCTGACTCGTGAGGAGGCTTCATGACAGTAAATAAATCATAAGTTTTATTCCATATTGTCCCTTTAACCTGCATCAGAGACAGAATTGTTGAGTATTTATCCAGGAGCCATAACTGTTCAACTGCATGACAAAGCTACGCTAACAGCTTAGCCGCTTCTAGCTACTTTAGCACCAAATGTATAGTTTCTCCTCTGCTTTTGAACCCCAGAGCTTAGCATTAACATTTGCTTCAAAATTAGCATCTCTAGCTAGCATTAACATGACCTTATATGTTAAGAAATATTGCCCACATTTGTACAATTTGGTGACAAAACCCTGACGGAGAAAGTACACAATGGGAAAGAAAACTGAAGCACTGATGCTAACACAGAGCTAATGGTAAGCTATCCTCTGGAGCTTCAAAATGGCAGCTCGCGACATCTGAAGTCTTTTCAAAGGACTGCGTTGCACCAGCAGGTGGCGATAATGCCAAGCTCTGGTCATCACCTCTGCGTCTGTATGTAAACTGTAAATATGAATGTAGATTGTAAATAAGCTAACGTGCGCTTGCTAGCAGCAGTTCCACTCCCGGATCTGAGTCTTTCCTACTTCATCACACAACTACTCCAACTCCCAGAGCCGTCATTTTGACTGCTCTGATTTAAACCAATGGAATTTTGAGAAACGTCCCCAAAAATGTATGTGTTTTGAGAGATGTATTAACTCGTCGTGTGCCGTTGACGCACTAATGCGTCAAAGCAAATGGTAACGTTGTGGCGCATTAATGCGTCAATTGCGTTTTCCGCTATTTTCATGTTCCCAGATGTCTAACATGTTTGGGGATAAGCTTTAGACCATATTTTATGGAGCCAGCAGGTGGCAGCAGCGCTGTCTCTGTATGGTTTGAAAACAGTAAAACTTCCCTCTGCTCATTACCTCCCAAAGTAAAAGATGATTAAAGAGATATAATAACATACAAATAAAGTGTCATTAAACTGCATAGACACAGAAAGAGGACACAAACTAAAAGGAGTTCTGGTGTTAGATATTTGGCCTCGTGGTTCGCAGATCCGGTTGTGGATACGGCAGCTGCAACACGCTTCATGATGTCCATAATTATTTATAAACTGCACAATGGTTTTTTGTTGTATATTATTTACTTTTTAAGGGAAGATTAAGACAAAAAAACTAATTTATTTTGTACTTGAACCTAGCACTAAACATTGTTTTTCTATATTGTTTCGTTGGTTATAAATGTGTATTTTCAGAAAAGGACTCGTCTTATTCGGTCCCAGTGTTTTGTCCAAACATCGGCTTCAGCTGCAGATTCTTGGTGCCAGATTTTTTATGTCTGATAATTGCCAAATTATATCACATTGTACCGTAATTCCAGTGTTTTTATTTAGGTATTATAGAATTAGAAGCCATTTTGTTAGCTTCTGTTTTTTGTATGATCCAACACTCATTCTAACGCTGCAGATAGAACAGTCACATAGGCCGCACTTGAAGCTGCAGGTTTTCATGTTTAATGTAACTTGACAGCTGATGGAGCAAAACTAAAGTGGCCGACGATGAAATGATTTTTTCTTACGCACTGTTGTGTGATGAGCAAAGAAATCAATCTATTTTGACAATTACGTCCTGCACAGAAGTGATGAAGAAAAAAACTCAAATTTGGCTAAATGCAATTTAGCACATTATGCCTTAAAACCAGATTCTTGGGGTCAAAGTAAAATAATCTTTTTATAGAAATGTCTTCCTTGGAATAAGGAAGTCAGACTAAAGATTTAAGAATGGGACAAAGCCGTTTAAAATCAGAATGTGTCAGATTAAGATAAAAACTACTTGATTCCAGCATTGATTACATCATAGTTTACACATTTTTGCAGTGTAGTAAAACTTGTGTCAAAACAAAGTCCATAACATCTGCTCTGACTGCAGCTCTAATCACATAAACATCTAGTCCTGCCACTCTGCTGACCGCTGATAGGGGGCGCTCTCATCCCCAGTTCACAGAAACTGTAAGGTCCATAACTCGGGAAACCATTATCGTTCGTAAGAACGGAATTCCCAAAACAAATGTAAAGACGATACTTTTGTTGAAATAAGTTTCAGTGTTGTAACATATTTAAAGCTGGGGTTCTGAACCTTCGAGCCTCACAAACAAAAGAAGAGGACCACCCTCTCTCGGCCAATCAGCTCTCAGCCCAAGAAGCTACAACCAATAAAGTGATAGCTAATGAGATGAAGACTGCATGTTGTGGCATAATTTTGTTTTTACAAGTTTTTGTTGAGACAAAGATGTGTTTTTTATGAGACTAAAAGTTGGGGACCTCAGCTTTAAAGCCAGCTTCAAATCTAACCATGTATTGTTCAAAACTGTTTGAACATGTAGCTAAACCCCGCTGACTGACACCACACCCTCAGCCTGGGACCACACTGAGACCACACCCTCAGCCTGGGACCACACTGAGACCACACCCTCAGCCTGGGACCACACTGAGACCACACCCTCAGCCTGGGACCACACTGAGACCACACCCTCAGCCTGGGACCACACTGAGACCACACCCTCAGACTGAGACCACACCCTCAGCCTGGGACCACACTGAGACCACACCCTCAGCCTGGGACCACACTGAGACCACACCCTCAGCCTGGGACCACACTGAGACCACACCCTCAGCCTGGAACCACACTGAGACCACACCCTCAGCCTGGGACCACACTGAGACCACACCCTCAGCCTGGGACCACACTGAGACCACACCCTCAGACTGGAACCACACTGACACCACACCCTCAGACTGGAACCACACTGAGACCACACCCTCAGACTGGAACCACACTGAGACCACACCCTCAGACTGGAACCACACTGAGACCACACCCTCAGCCTGGGACCACACTGAGACCACACCCTCAGCCTGGGACCACACTGAGACCACACCCTCAGACTGGAACCACACTGAGACCACACCCTCAGCCTGGGACCACACTGAGACCACACCCTCAGCCTGGGACCACACTGAGACCACACCCTCAGACTGGAACCACACTGAGACCACACCCTCAGCCTGGGACCACACTGAGACCACACCCTCAGACTGGAACCACACTGAGACCACACCCTCAGACTGGAACCACACTGAGACCACACCCTCAGACTGGAACCACACTGAGACCACACCCTCAGACTGGAACCACACTGAGACCACACCCTCAGACTGGAACCACACTGAGACCACACCCTCAGACTGGAACCACACTGAGACCACACCCTCAGACTGGAACCACACTGAGACCACACCCTCAGACTGGAACCACACTGAGACCACACCCTCAGCCTGGGACCACACTGAGACCACAGCCTCAGCCTGGGACCACACTGAGACCACACCCTCAGACTGAGACCACACTGAGACCACACCCTCAGCCTGGGACCACACTGAGACCACACCCTCAGACTGAGACCACAGACTCGTACTGGTCCTTCCTCGTCACAGACTAGAATGTAGAGCACATGTTACTGCTGTATATGAGCTCACTGGGACATTTATTTATCATGCACTGAATAAAAGCACACCTTAAACTGAGCTCAAGACTCCTTCTTTCCTCTGTGTTTCCACATTAGTCCTGGCTCAGACTGGTCCATGTTATACATTATCTCATTTATCTAACCCTAACCCTGTGCAAACCATATGGACATTGGAGACACCAGATCTATTGAGCTCCTAGAACCCCATATGACACCCAACTTCTCCATATGACACCCAACTTCTCACTATGACACCCAACTTCTCCATATGACACCCAACTTCTCCATATGACACCCAACTTCTCACTATGACACCCAACTCCTCCATATGACACCCAACTTCTGGATATCAGTCCAAGCTGCATGAGTTTACATTTATGCTATGATTTTATCTCACATGTCTGACTGCCATTGTCTGGGGTCAGGCCACAACATCTGAGGGTTAAAGATATCAAAGGTACAGCAGTGAGGGTTAAAGATATCAAAGGTACAGCAGTGAGGGTTAAAGATATCAAAGGTACAGCAGTGAGGGTTAAAGATATCAAAGGTACAGCAGTGAGGGTTAAAGATATCAAAGGTACAGCAGTGTGGGTTAAAGATATCAAAGGTACAGCAGTGTGGGTTAAAGATATCAAAGGTACAGCAGTGTGGGTGTGCAGACTCGAGCTGCGCTCAGTGGGAGCTGCTGTCAGTGGGAGCTGCTGTCAGTGGGAGCTGCTGTCAGTGGGAGCTGCTGTCAGTGGGAGCTGCTGTCAGTGGGAGCTGCTGTCAGTGGGAGCTGCTGTCAGTGGGAGCTGCTGTCAGTGGGAGCTGCGGTCAGTGGGAGCTGCTGTCAGTGGGAGCTGCTGTCAGTGGGAGCTGCTGTCAGTGGGAGCTGCTGTCAGTGGGAGCTGCTGTCAGTGGGAGCTGCTGTCAGTGGGAGCTGCTGTCAGTGGGAGCTGCGGTCAGTGGGAGCTGCTGTCAGTGGGAGCTGCTGTCAGTGGGAGCTGCTGTCAGTGGGAGCTGCTGTCAGTGGGAGCTGCGGTCAGTGGGAGCTGCGGTTAGTGGGAGCTGCTGTCAGTGGGAGCTGCTGTCAGTGGGAGCTGCGGTCAGTGGGAGCTGCTGTCAGTGGGAGCTGCGGTCAGTGGGAGCTGCTGTCAGTGGGAGCTGCTGTCAGTGGGAGCTGCGGTCAGTGGGAGCTGCTGTCAGTGGGAGCTGCGGTCAGTGGGAGCTGCTGTCAGTGGGAGCTGCTGTCAGTGGGAGCTGCTGTCAGTGTATTTATTCTTTATCTAAGAATAAATACAGTAAAAGAGCAGAAATGCAATATAAAATACATAAAACAGGTCTCCAAATCAGCTGTTTAAAAGGCGAATTGAGGTGGGGAGGAAGCTGGATGTGGCCCTTTTGTTTTGAATGGGAGGGACCTGAACCTACGCCCTGATGGGAGCAGACTGTAGTGACAGTGCAGAGTGTGGGAGCTGTCTGTGGAGATCTGGGAGCCTTTAAAACTTTGTGATTGTAAATGTCTGTGAGTGAGTCTTGCTGCTGTCCAATGATTTTGCTGCTGATTTTAATGATCTTATTGAGTGAATTCCGATGTATGAGACTGAGTGAACCAAACCAAGCTGTAATGTTGAAAGTTAGAATTGATTCAATGAAGCATTTGTAGAAAACAGAGAGAATGGATTTGTGAACCTGAAGTTTAGAGTTTGCGGAGGAAGAAAAGGCACTGTTGACATTTAGAAAAGATAAGTTCAGTATTGTCCTGGAAAGTGAGTTTATGATCGATTATGGTGCCAAGATATTTGTATGAATTAACCTTTTCTTTGGGGTCATTGTTGACAGTGAGTGTGGGAGTGGGGGAGTGTCCATGATGGAAGAAAATGACTATTTCTTTTGTCTTTGAGACATTTAGGTCCAGGCAATTGTCTCTACACCACTGAGTGAAGGAGTCCAGTTCAGTCTGCAGAAGTCCTGGGCTGTGTCCAAAACGGTAGGCATCGGGCCGCGTAGGGTGGATACGTAGGCACAGAAGGAAGACCGCGTAGGCACAGGCGAGGTAGGAGGCGAGACGTGATGTGGATTTGGACAGCAGCTGCCTTCTGCCTTCGTCACGTGACTACACAACTCAGAGCGGAGCGGAAGGACACGGCGGCCATGATGGACGGTAAAAAGTTCTAAATACGCTTTAATTAGGACATAAAAGTTAATTCTAATATCATTTGAGGCGAGAAATATCCCCCTCTATTGTCATATCAGGGGTCTGTTTGGAGATAAATTCGAAAATTTTCGGACTTTACCTCCAGCCTGAAGCTCCGGTGCTATAAGCTAACAGCCCAGTTAGCTGCAGTGCTGAAGCCCAGAACAGGCTGTCTAAACACGGGTTCAGGTAATGAGAGCCCCCTGGATGTTTACAATCGTATTCTGAAAAAACAGAGGATGCTTTTGTTGCTACACTTTCTCTGTTATAACAATTGTATTGGCAGTAATCATTAGTTTTTACAAAGTTATATTTTATGTAAACAATGCACATATATGCAATAAATGATTATTAGATATGGATTATATATTTGCTATGGCCCTCGTTTGTGCATCACTTAAAAGTAATTTTATCAGAACTAAATGTATTAACGTGCGCTTGCTGATGAGAGAGAAACATCCATTTATCTATAATAATAACTGACAAATCCATTTATCTATAATAATAACTGACACATCCATTTATCTATAATAATAACTGACACATGCATTTATCTATAATAATAACTGACACATGCATTTATCTATAATAATAACTGACACATCCATGGATCTATAATAATAACTGACACATCCATTTATCTATAATAATAACTGACACATGCATTTATCTATAATAATAACTGGAACATCCATGGATCTATAATAATAACTGACACATCCATGGATCTATAATAATAACTGACACATCCATGGATCTATAATAATAACTGACACATCCATTTATCTATAATAATAACTGACACATCCATGGATCTATAATAATAACTGACACATCCATGGATCTATAATAATAACTGACACATGCATTTATCTATAATAATAACTGACACATGCATTTATCTATAATAATAACTGACACATCCATGGATCTATAATAATAACTGACACATCCATTTATCTATAATAATAACTGACACATCCATGGATCTATAATAATAACTGACACATCCATGGATCTATAATAATAACTGACACATCCATGGATCTATAATAATAACTGACACATCCATTTATCTATAATAATAACTGACACATCCATGGATCTATAATAATAACTGACACATCCATGGATCTATAATAATAACTGACACATCCATGGATCTATAATAATAACTGACATCCATGGATCTATAATAATAACTGACACATCCATGGATCTATAATAATAACTGACACATCCATGGATCTATAATAATAACTGACACATCCATGGATCTATAATAATAACTGACACATCCATTTATCTATAATAATAACTGACACATCCATGGATCTATAATAATAACTGACACATCCATTTATCTATAATAATAACTGACACATCCATGTATCTATAATAATAACTGACACATCCATGGATCTATAATAATAACTGACACATCCATTGATCTATAATAATAACTGACACATCCATGGATCTATAATAATAACTGACACATCCATGGATCTATAATAATAACTGACACATCCATTTATCTATAATAATAACTGACACATCCATGGATCTATAATAATAACTGACACATCCATGGATCTATAATAATAACTGACACATCATGATCTATAATAATAACTGACACATCCATGGATCTATAATAATAACTGACACATCCATGGATCTATAATAATAACTGACACATCCATGGATCTATAATAATAACTGACACATCCATGGATCTATAATAATAACTGACACATCCATTATCTATAATAATAAACTGACACATCCATGGATCTATAATAATAACTGACACATCCATTTATCTATAATAATAACTGACACATCCATTTATCTATAATAATAACTGACACATCCATGGATCTATAATAATAACTGACACATCCATATCTATAATAATAACTGACACATCCATTTATCTATAATAATAACTGACACATCCATGATCTATAATAACTAACATCCATGGATCTATAATAATAACTGACACATCCATTATCTATAATAATAACTGACACATCCATGGATCTATAATAATAACTGACACATCCATATCTATAATAATAACTGACACATCCATGGATCTATAATAATAACTGACACATCCATGGATCTATAATAATAACTGACACATCCATGGATCTATAATAATAACTGACACATCCATGGATCTATAATAATAACTGACACATCCATGATCTATAATAATAACTGACACATCCATGGATCTATAATAATAACTGACACATCCATGGATCTATAATAATAACTGACACATCCATGGATCTATAATAATAAAATGACACATCCATGGATCTATAATAATAACTGACACATCCATGGATCTATAATAATAACTGACACATCCATGGATCTATAATAATAACTGACACATCCATGGATCTATAATAATAACTGACACATCCATGGATCTATAATAATAACTGACACATCCATGGATCTATAATAATAACTGACACATCCATGGATCTATAATAATAACTGACACATCCATGGATCTATAATAATAACTGACACATCCATGGATCTATAATAATAACTGACACATCCATGGATCTATAATAATAACTGACACATCCATGATCTATAATAATAACTGACACATCCATGGATCTATAATAATAACTGACACATCCATGGATCTATAATAATAACTGACACATCCATGGATCTATAATAATAACTGACACATCCATGGATCTATAATAATAACTGACACATCCATGGATCTATAATAATAACTGACACATCCATGGATCTATAATAATAACTGACACATCCATGGATCTATAATAATAACTGACACATCCATGGATCTATAATAATAACTGACACATCCATGGATCTATAATAATAACTGACACATCCATGGATCTATAATAATAACTGACACATCCATGATCTATAATAATAACTGACACATCCATGGATCTATAATAATAACTGACACATCCATGGATCTATAATAATAACTGACACATCCATGGATCTATAATAATAACTGACACATCCATGGATCTATAATAATAACTGACACATCCATGGATCTATAATAATAACTGACACATCCATGGATCTATAATAATAATAACTGACACATCCATGGATCTATAATAATAACTGACACATCCATGGATCTATAATAATAACTGACACATCCATGGATCTATAATAATAACTGACACATCCATGGATCTATAATAATAACTGACACATCCATGGATCTATAATAATAACTGACACATCCATGGATCTATAATAATAACTGACACATCCATGGATCTATAATAATAACTGACACATCCATGGATCTATAATAATAACTGACACATCCATATCTATATAATAACTGACACATCCATCTATAATAATAACTGACACATCCATTTATCTATAATAATAACTGACACATCCATGGATCTATAATAATAACTGACACATCCATGGATCTATAATAATAACTGACACATCCATGGATCTATAATAATAACTGACACATCCATGGATCTATAATAATAACTGACACATCCATGGATCTATAATAATAACTGACACATCCATGGATCTATAATAATAACTGACACATCCATGGATCTATAATAATAACTGACACATCCATGGATCTATAATAATAACTGACACATCCATGGATCTATAATAATAACTGACACATCCATGGATCTATAATAATAACTGACACATCCATGGATCTATAATAATAACTGACACATCCATTTATCTATAATAATAACTGACACATCCATGGATCTATAATAATAACTGACACATCCATGGATCTATAATAATAACTGACACATCCATGGATCTATAATAATAACTGACACATCCATTTATCTATAATAATAACTGACACATCCATGGATCTATAATAATAACTGACACATCCATGGATCTATAATAATAACTGACACATCCATGGATCTATAATAATAACTGACACATCATGATCTAAAATAACTGACACATCCATTTATCTATAATAATAACTGACACATCCATGGATCTATAATAATAACTGACACATCCATGG